AAAATTTCTGCAGAAAAATCAGCTGATAGCCTTTTGGGGGTTCCGTTGTATGTGACTCTTTATTTTTCTCTTGCTGACTTTAGAATTCTCTCTTTATCTTTAACATTAACCATTTTAAGTCTGATATTTCTTGGTCTGGTTCTCCTGGGGTTCATCTTGTTTAGGACTCTCTGTGTTTCCTGTACCTGGAAATCTATTTCCTTCTTCAGCTTCGGGAATTTTTCATCCATAATTTCATCAAGTACATTTCTACCCCTTTCTCTCTCTCTCTTCTCCTTCTGGGACCCCTACAGTGCAAATGTTAGTATGTTTGATGTTGTCTCATAAGCCCCTTAAACTATCCTTATTTTCAAAAATGCGTTTTTATTTTTGCTCTGCTGATTGCATGATTTACATTCTTTTATCTTCCAGATCACTTAGGCATTCTTCTGTATCACCTAATCTTCTATTACTTCCCTCTAGTGTATTTTTCATTTCAGTTATTGTATTCTTCAGTTCTGACTGGTTTGTTTTTATACTTTCTAGTTACTTGCTAAAATTCTCACTGTGTTCGTCTATTCTTTCCCCAAGTTCAGCTAGTATTCTTATTACTAAAGCTTTGAACTCTTTATCTGGTAAATTAATTATCTCTCTTTCATTAGGATTTTTTTCAGGTTTTTTTTTCTTGTTCTTTCATTTGAAACATATTCTTCTGTCTTCTCATTTTGTTTAACTTTCTCTATCTCTATGAAGTTAGGTGATAGAGTTACCTATCTGACGCTTCTGTGGGAGCATCCCTATACAGTCTACATGTGCCCAGTGGCTATGGTAGGAGAGCCAGATCTGACGTGAGCAAGAGTCACATCTTTCCCCAGGGTGTGCTGGCAGCTATCAGCTTGGTAGAAGGTGGTGCTGGAGATGGAAGGGCTAGAGCCAGAGCCAGGGCTTCTTCTATGCTCAGCGGCCATCACCGCCTCACTGGGGGCAGAGTTGGTGCCCAAGGTACTGGAGCAGAAGCCCTGAAGTTCAGGTCCGAGCTGGTTCCTTTCCCTCTAAGTGTGTGCACCACCCCCCTGGCAATGGCACCTCTGCCACAGTGGAGAGCAGCACTGGAGCAACAGGTACTAGAGGGGGCCTGTGGGACAGGCCAGGGTAAGTGCTGGGACAGTCCCAGCAAGTTAGTCCGAGCCCCAGGCAATTTTCAATCTGCTGCTTCCTCGTGTGCATGCTGGTAATGGCTGCCTTCCCCTTGTTCAGAGGCAGGGTTGGGTCCAAGGCAGCTCTGTTCTCTCTAAGTGTGAACACTCTCCTTGGCAGCAGCAGCCTTTATGGCAGTGGAGAGCTGCACCAGAGCAAGAGAGGCTGTAGTGGGCACCCGGTGCAGGCTGGGGAGCAGGCTGTGGCAGTTGCGGGAAACCAGCCAGAGCTCCAGGTAGTTTTCAGTCTGTTTCCTCCGCCTTGTTCCCTGGGAGTAAGCAAGTGTGTGCATGCTCTTCATGAGTGGAGTGTCAGTTTCTTACAGCCCTCTGGTAAGTCCCACTGGTTTTCAAACCAGCTAAGGGGACTCGTCTTCCCGGAGTCAGGCCCAACATGTGGCTTGAACCCATCACTACCCACAGAGGATCCTTGAGGCTGTGATATCCCCTGCCTCTTGTATGTCCCCTCCTTGGGCACTTGTCCCAACCAGATCGCTTTTCCTCCCTTCCTGCCCAACTCTGTGCAACTCTTTCTTTATAGCCTTGGTTGTAGAAGAGCCTTTATGTCAGGCTCCAGGTTGTTTTCAGCAGGAGTTGCTTCATATGTAAGATATATTTTGATGTGTTTGTGGAAGGAGGTGAGCTCAGCATCCTCCTACTCTGCCATCTTGATCTCCCTCCCATCTGCCCCTGACTTTCCACAGGAGACAAGTAAGATGATCATCCTACATTTTTCCCCTTTGGACTTCCTCAGAGTATTTCCATACTAAAATGTTGTTGTTATCTTTGCTGTTTTAGTGGCGATGGTACTGTCTAAGACTTAAATTTGTAACAATCTACCTATAGCTGAAGAGTCCAAATCCAAGCTAAGGAAGGACAGGTGATGAAGGTCAAGGAATAATGAGAATGTCCTGAGATGGATCTCTGAGGTTTTCATTTTCACAGATGCATTTTTGTGCAACATGTATAAGTCATCTACCATTAGTTGTAAATCAATGTGACATTAATTTAGCCATTCATCCTTTTTGCTGCTGCAGAACTTAGAGCTCCTTCCTGGGCTATGGCTTTAAGAAGGCAATGCAAACACAGATATAGAAGTAAACTAATTTTGCAATAGAGATAGAAAGATTTAGAAATTTTAATATTCTTAAGAGACTATTTGATTTGTGTTGAGAGGGAGCTGACTTGATTTTCTTAGAGGCTCTAAAGAAGAGTGAATATGAATGATTGGGCAAGCCAGCATCTTTATAAAGGTGATTTTTAAATTGCATTGCTTGGAGTGTTTACCATTTATTTACTTGACTTTTGCCCTTGCGTGAAAAACCAAAAGGAAATATGTCTTACTTTGGTTTAAGAAGCTGGCGACGTGGTGAATGGGGAGTTAGAACTTAGGTATTATCTACCCCAGATTCAGGAAGTCAGGGAGATGAGGTTATACGAATGAAAACTTGTTTTCAAGGTTCCCTCCACTCTGAAAATTGGGGTTTTGCATGAGAAGTTTTAGTCCCAAAATAAAAGATTGGGAAGTGCAAATGTTGTGTAAATGAGAGATCTTTCTCTTTTTCCAACTTGGTATTCCTTGATTGAAAATCTTAAATTATATTTATTGATGAGTTAGGATTCACTTCATAGCATGTTTAAAATTCAAAATGTGACTTGATTTTTAAATCTTTGATTTACATACTTTCAGGAACCCATTTATTATAGAAATCAAGAACAGCTGTGTTCTCCCTAAGGTTGATTGTTTCAGTCAAATCCTTTTAAAACGCGAATTAAGAAGATTAGGATTTAATCTTTGTTTCTTCCAACAACAACAAAAAATCTCATCATAGAGTTAATATACCTCCTAGTCCAGAATGTGTTATTGGAAAGTACATATTCAGTACTGTCTACTTTTTAATCAATGGTATATTTATAACTTTTAGATTATTTTGTAGTTACGTCAGAAAAACTGAAAGATTTGCTCTTTTTATTTTTCCAAATTCATTGAATTTAGGAAGTTACAGGGTGGTGAACCTATCACTGAGCTTTTTGGTGAGTATTTTTGCCGCAAGGTACTAGAAAGACAAGAACCATCACCAAAAGTAGGAAGAGGTAACTTGTGGGTTAGCTATTATACAATGTCTTGGTAAGAAATTAAGCACCAAGTAAATCAATAACGATGGTACGCAAGTTTTGGAGAAGGTATTATAACAAAATGTTAGCATTAAAGAAACATTTGCAACCTACGAAGCCTAAACTATTTTTAAAAGCTCATATGGGCAGCTGAAGATGTATTTGTCCCATGTGAATACTAGAGGTGGGTGGGGATAAAACAAGTAGCTTGCCATATCAAAGAGACTATGGCATACATGGAAAGTGTCTTTTAGAAATAGGAAAAAATCCAATCAAGGAGAATGGGGAAGCTTATACATTTAGCAGGTCATGTGCGAACTGTCATTTAGGTTGGTTGAAAAAAGAAAAATTGGCGAAATTCTTTAAAATCAGTCATAAGTTTTTAAGTTACTCAAAAGCAGGCAGTTTACTGGGTCTATTTGGTGATGATGGTGCAACAAACTTGACAGAAAAATAATAAACTTTAATGATCTATTTGTCTAATAAAAGAAGATATAAGGGAACATGCTATCTCAATAATTTGTCCCCTGAAATTGATGACCAGGTTCAACTGTAATAAATGAACAGATAATCTAGGTCCAATTAACAAATTAAATATAGACAGTTCATCAGAACTATATAGCATCCTTCTATATTTTGAAGGAACTCAAAGTAAGGTTTTAGGTCTGGACTAATATAGCACTTAAGTATAAGTTAGATTGACATGTATACACTGCTATATTTAAAATAAAACACCTTCCCATGAAAAAATAAATAAAAAATAATAAATTAATAACTTGCCATTTCTGTGAGGTTTGGAAATCTTTTTTTCTACTTGATCAGTAGTATATATTCAGCAATATGAGTTTAAGTAAGGTCAAAGGTTATCTTGTGGGAGTAAAATTTGAATTCAGAATTGTACACTGTTAGATAAAGGATATTTCTGAATCAGGAAAGGGCAGTGAATTTATAAATCTAAGTCATGCCTATACATCTGTTAACCTAAAACCTTATGCTTGATTCAGATTTTGTTGTAGCAAAATATTGATTTATTCTGGATTCCTACTGTGAGATGTGTTGTGAAAGTTCAGCATATTACCATTTCCTTATGAGTACTTGCAATCATGATAAAAGCATAGAATCTTATTGCAGCCATTGATGAGACCATTACATACAGATAGGATCCCAAGTAAAGAAGAAAAAAAGGACTCGTAGATTCTTGCATCTTTTGTGCTCTGTGTTGTTTATATGGTGGTTTAGAAGTATAGGTGCAGTGATTAGGATGTCCAAGTTGGAGAGAGAGATTTAAAAGGTAACATTTTGCTGGTGGAATGTAAGAATTTTAACAACTCACCTACCTAGAGCTTAGATTAGGTATTCTCTCATTATCACTACCATTGCATTAATGTGCAAATTGTGTATATTCAGCTGCTTTATTCTAAAAAGAGTCTGGCCCTTTGGTGTGCACCAGAGACATTTGCTATAGGAGATTGTGATCCTTAGCAGGATCAGCTAAGCCCACTTAGTGTGGGTGATCCAGTAGAATATGGACTAGTTGGCCATTTGGGATACAGATGTTCTAACAAAGCACGTGCGGAGAGTCAAGGGAGTTTGTATGCTTTTTTTTTTTTAAATGTGGTATTGTCTTATGTGATTTATTTTCCTTCATTTAAAAACTTGATGCAAAATGTTTGTGCTCTTTCCTTTCCTTCTCTCCCCGCCCCCCCTTAGAATAATATAGCCGATCCAGAAGAACTGTTCACAAAATTAGAACGCATTGGAAAAGGCTCCTTTGGAGAAGTGTTCAAAGGTATTGATAACCGCACCCAGCAAGTGGTTGCTATTAAAATCATAGACCTTGAGGAAGCCGAAGATGAAATTGAAGACATTCAGCAAGAAATAACTGTTTTGAGTCAGTGTGACAGCTCATATGTAACAAAATACTATGGATCATATTTAAAGGTAATGTGTACGCTGGATTATTTAAGTCATAAGGTATTTTCATTATAAGTATTTCTTTTTTTTTAACTCTGTTTTTCGAAAGGCAATGTCTTAAATTAGGATTTGACAGCCTTTGGCCTCCAGACAGAACTCAGCTCCATTTGTAGTGCCAAAATAGGCTGGTTTTAGATTTGGCAGCTGTATCCTGAATGCATCCCAGTACTCAGCTGCAACATTTTTCCACACCTGAACTTTTGGGTTGATAGAGGAACAGAAAGGCAGCTGAGCCTTGAGACGTATCCTTTGCCTGGAAAGAGCTTTCTCCCTGGGCTTTTAACACATTATTCTCAATGGTCCAGTCTGTCTCAACCTCAGAATGGATGGCATATGTAAGCATGTCACTATTCCACTGAGTTATGGTGGTTATTTACACATCTCTCTCTCCCTCTAGGTTGTAAGCTTCTTGACAGCAGGGAGTTTAGTTCAACCCGTCTTGGTTTTCACATCACTTAGCACAGAGCATGGCACATCTTAAGTACATGATAAATGTTTGTTGAAATGGAATTAAATAGATTAATATCGTTCCCCCCCACCAAAAATAAGTTGGATTTTTAGTTTCTAGGATTATGGAATTAGCAGACACCTGAAGTTCCAGCAGATGGAGTTATTACTGCATCACAGAAAACTCTTTGGTGACTAAAACCCGAGTTCTTGGGTTCCATATTTATAGAGTCAGGATTTGTGTCTATTGAAATATAAAACAATACATAATTAGAAAAATCTAGCTTAGAGTTTAAATTATCTTAAAATTTAAAAAATGTATCCCCATATTGATATTTTTTAAAGGAGGGCAGTATTAGTTAGATCTTTGATTTTCAGAGCTTACAAGGGGGAAGGTTTTGTTTGTCTGTTTGTCCATCCATCTATCTCTAGGCCAAAAGGGTGTGTTTATAACCCATCAGGCTGTTGGCCTGCACAAAAATTGATGCTGTCTTTTTATGTTCTGCTGATCAAATATACCCTAGGATAAACTATCTATATTAGTTAATACTGATATAGAAATTCATCTATTTCCCTGGCTTTTTACAGAGCCTAACCTTTTTTTTTTTTTTTTTTTGGCTGCGCTGCACGACTTGCGGGATTGAACCCAGGCCTCCTGCAGGAGAAGCACAGAGTCCTAACCACTGAACTGCCAGGGAATTCCCCACAGAGCCTAATTTATTCTAATAGTACGTGAATTAGGTGACTGTGGCATTAATGCATAGTAGAATGAATCATTAAATAGCCAAACAGTCACTATGTGTCACACACTGTACTAAGTTATGGAGATGTAAAAGTGAACAACTCCTGCCATTAAAGAGCTCACAGTCTCATATTGCACTAAAATAGTGTAGATTTTGTGATTGAATATGTACAAGGTACAGATGAGGCATAAATAAGAAAATGGTTACCTCTACCCTTTTTTTCCATGATGGTGTGAAGGAAAGGCTTCCAAGAGGAGGTGATACTGCTGGTAGCTCCTATACAATATACTTTTAAGTGTTAGCCATTACTCTATTTTACTGTATACCTAATTACTTGATTCTTTGTGGTTCACTTTGCTTTTATATTCTTTCCTAAAAAGCTTATTTAGTGGGTCAGATTCCTTTTTGGGAATCCTATGGGGGTGGTCATTCAATCTCAGTGGTTTTAAGTCTCCCTTCTAATTTCCATAGCAGGCGGGGTTGTAGGCAGTCCAGGGAATTTGTTGTTGTTGTTGGTGATGTGTGTGTGTGTGTTTTGCTTATTCTGGTTTACTCTTTCTGGATTGAATCCTTGTAATTCCAGACCCACTCTAGAGCAAATCTGAACACTTGCTATTTTTAGGCACCTGTATCAGGTAAGCTAGTTTTGGTGACTGACTTATATTAAAGAAGCCCTATTTAAAATGCGCTATTGTATATTATATTGAAAATGGGTACTGACATGGTATTGAGTTTTATTGTTTGCTTACAACCTTTCTTTATTCATATTCAGTACTCACATGGAAAATGAATTATAACTCTGTTTTTATTATTTATTCCTAAGATTTCACATTTAAAAAAACTTTCCTCATAGTGTACATGTACTGGTCACCCAAAAAAAACTTAATCTTTTAATAAATCCAACTGATAGTTTGTTTTCTCCAAATCTTGATTGTTGAATGTTCTCAGGCCAGTTAGTGATACAAAACTGTTATCCAAGATGTCTTCTTACAGAATTAAACTGCATTATTTTTATCTCGTTTACCCGTCATTAATTAAAATACATGATGAGAAAGCCTACCTTGAAGAACATGTTACTTCATGATAAAATTGTAGAAATTCACAGATGGCTGCTACTGATTACATTTGTATCTAGATTATCTGTACACACACATATTAGCTCTATATGGATATACATATATATGCACAGAGAAAAAGAAATATGATTTTATAACTCTTTAATACCATTTATTTAAATTACTTTCTTAAATTGACCACTTGTTTATTTTCCATTTATATTAAACCATAGTGTGACTTCACAGGCTTAAATTTTTTTAAACTAAAGTCACATCAAATATAACAGGGTTCTGTTTAGTTCAGTCAGTGAAATCAAGGCTACATCCTCTAAGTACCATCGGAGAACTGCATCATCAATCGACTTATGTTCTTGTTGTGGCCCATCCTTCCGTTTCAGATGACATGGGAGATTTTGTGAGTCAAGTTAACTGAGTAAAGTAGGATACAGGTTCTTCTCAGGTTGTCCTAACACAGGACATAACCAAGACCCTCACTGTTAGCTGGAGGAAAATTTATTGCACTTGAGAGAAAATTATATGCTCTCTGCAACTGTATGTAGTTGTAGCACTTTCCTTGAGACATGCAGAAATGTACTAGGTATTCATTTTGACTGAGCTCACTGTATAACTTCGTTTTTAAAAACAAGAGTAAAAACCAGACAGACACATCAGTATGACCACAATATTTTCCTTTAATTTTACTTCACTGCAGATTTTCTTGACAGACAAAGTTAGTCTTTATGACGAGTGCTAAAATAAGCAAACCCTTCCCTTCTGATCTCATAACATTGGAAGAATCTTTTATAATCTTTAAATATTTTTCTAGTTCGATGTAAATCTTAAAATGAAGCTCACTCAGGCATTGAATAGAACTTGAATCATGCCTTTATTTGCTGCTGAAAATTGCTTTTAGATTTCTGTTTATGTTAAGGAAATATGCCCCCCTCCACATACCACAACGACTGATATTTATTTAAAAAAAAAGAATTGAATGATTGAAGTAAAATATTCCAGAATAGAGTCTGTACAGTTTTGTTTCCTTCTCATTATTTTTCCTGAGACTTTTGTGTGTGCTTATTTCCGAAGTATGGCGAATGTTTCTGGAATATTTCTGGAATATTCTTTAATTTTTAAAAATCATAGTTTTCTTATAAAACTTGAAGGAAATTGGAGAGGGAAATATTTCCTCCTTGTACAGTGGTTTTTTCTCTCAAAATAAGAATAGCTTTAAACTTCCTATAATACACCTCTAAGAAGCCCCATATTAGATTCAATTCAGCAGATATTTATTTTTCCGTCACTACTCTGTGCACTCCTCTCATTCTGCATATTTGCCCTGGTCGGTCTCATCTACTTTATTCTGACAATTTCTAAATTCATGTCTCTGGTTTCAGCCTCTCTCCTTAGCCCCAGATAGGTATATCTAACTTGTCTCATATCTCCCACTTATCTGTGGGTAGGTACCTCAAGTGCAATAACCCAAAACGTGGGGAATAGCATTTAAAGTGGGTCTTGAGTATGATTTTGATAGGGTTTGGGATGTGAGGGTGGGGTATAGACAAGGCATTCTAGACTGGAAGAAAACGATTCCAAGGTGGTAAAGTATCTGGCAAGATGCTCTCTACTATTCCTTGCAGTTATATAAGATTTCACATTCTGTTTCTTTTCTTATCGTGGTATAATATATATCGCGAAAGTTACCATTTTAACCATTTTAAATGTACAGTTCTGTGGCATTTCATGCACTCATGTGATTTTGCAACCATCACTAGCATTCATCTCCAGAACTTTTTCATCTTCCTCAACTGAAACTCTGTACCCGTTAAACTATATAACTCCCCATTCTCTCCTCACCATAGTCCTTGGTAACCACCATTCTACTTTCTGTCTCTATGAGTTTCCCTACCGTAGACTCTTCATATAAGTGGAATCATACAACATTTGCCCTTTGGTGACTGGCTTATTTGACTTACACATGCTGGTTTATGTGGTCAGTGTTATGATTGGCTATCTGCTTCATAGACCAACCTACTTAATTCAACATGTACTTGATCTATGTTCAATAATTATCTCATAAATATATATAATGGGTATTTTAAATGTTTTTTTAAACGTTTTTTCTATGAGCAAATGAATTCCAAGTTCCACAGTAGCATTTCTCCCCCCTATAGCCAAGTGTCTGCTTTAGTGGCAAATTCAAAGGCCCCATGGGGTGATGGAGTTGATACTCCAGACACCAGTGATTTGTTAAAACTAGGCTCCAACTTCTCCCCAGTAAACAGTATAACTCTGAAGTACTTAACTCTTTTTTCAAATTTTTATTGGAGTATAGTTGATTTATAATGTTATGTTAGTTTCAGGTGTACAGCAAAATGAATCAGTTATACATATACATATATCCACTCCTCTTAAGATTCTTTTCCCATATAGGCCATTACAGAGTATTGAGTAGAGTTTCCTGTGCTATACAGTAGGTCCTTATTAGTAATCTATTTTATATATAGTAGTGTGTGTGTGTCAGTCCCAATCTCCCAATTTATCCCTCCTCCCCCCTTACCCCCTGGTAACCATAACTTTGTTTTCTACATCTGTAACTATTTCTTGAATTACTTACTCTTTAGGCGTTCTGAATTTTGGAACAGAGAGCCATTTCTTAACCCCTAACTGACCACCCATGTTGATGCAGGGCTTTATTTTATTTATTTATTTATTTTTGGCTGTGTTGGGTCTTTGTTACTGCGTGTGGGCTTTCTCTAGTTGCGGCGAGCGGGGGCTACTCTTCGTTGCGGTACGCGGGCTTCTCATTGTGGTGGCTTCTCTTGTTGCGGAGCACGGGCTCTAGGCGCATAGGCTTCAGTAGTTGTGGCGCGTGGGCTTAGTTGCCCCGAGGCATGTGGGATCTTCCCAGACCAGGGCTCAAACCTGTGTCCCCTGCATTGGCAGGCGGATTATTAACCCCTGCACCACCAGGGAAGTCCCTGCTGCAGGACTTTAAACTTAACTCCTCCAACCCATTGTTAAAACATTTGGATCATTTTATAATTGGAGAAGTGACATTTTTCCTTCAGGGACTTCCTATACTTAAATGTGCCAGATATATTGTTATGGTTTAGAGGTTTAGAGTCATTTGGCTCTTTTGGATTTGTAAACCAGTATGTAGATATCAACTTAGTCTTTTAAATTATTTAAGAACAAACCAAACATACATATTTGCATTCTCCAACACAGACATCTTTTACCAGAAATCAAAGATAGAAATTGTAGTCCCCCAAAAGAATACAAACACAGGGTCTAGGTTTTTTGGTTGGGTTTGGTTTGTGATTGGTGTTTTCATTAAGACCTGCTGTGGACAAGGAACAAGTAAGAGCCTGTGTGGGTTAAGCTTCCTTGAGTAGGGAGGAGCCCCACTGGCTCGCCATTCCTGCCTGTGCCCACTCGGGCCTCGCTTCAATTCCCCTGCCTGCCTCGCAGTCTTCTGAATGTTTGGACCTATGACCATCCTCCAGCGAGGTTTGTCTGCAGAAGTGACAATCAGAAGGAAGCAGCCAGAAAAGCTATGAGGCAGCTCTGGTTCCCTGCCTGTTTCAGAAGAGTCCTAGTTCCACTGAATAGCTCGCTTGCAAAGAGGAAGCCTTCTTTTCAGATCGGGAATTTGCTTAGTCATAAGTTTACTGACTTTTTAAGCTTTCTATGAATACATTTTGGTAGGTTTCTGTTTTGAATCGGTACCAAAAAAAAGACACACATTGTTTTTAACTTGGAAAACAGGCGCTTTCATTCATGCAGAACTGCAAAACAGATAAACATGTTTTATAAGATCTTTTTATTTTTCTTTGAATGTCAGGTGAATGGGAAGCATTCTGAATTCATGAGGTAGAATGTAGTACTTAGGAAAAAAAACGTGGCAAAAGATAAACTTCTCAGGCTGTACGGCATTGTGAGAAACACTTTTTTCTTCTGTAGAAAAAAATAGGAAGACTCATCAGGTTCACAGTTCTCATGTTCTGAGTCCTAATTTCTATACATGGAAACAAGTTACATGAACCACTCCTGGAACTCTTCTCCTCTCCCACTGTTAGGGGGATTTATTTCCTCTCCTGCCTACTGTATACACCACTCTCTCTTCTCAGTTCAAGCTGGCCTGCTGTGACAGGAGAGAGTTGATGTCAAGATGGGCGGGGGACATTGTTCCTTTCTTTCTCTTATACATTCTACATAATGTCAGCATCTTAATTTAACTGAGCCTTCCCTCCCCGGACCCTTACCCTACACCACAACCCATTCCCCCACTACAGTGTCCCCTAAACACTCATCATCATGTTATTGGAGTCCATTCTCTGCCATAATAAAGCCCCAGTCTCATGGAGACACTTGGAAATTTTGAATGGAACTCCTGAGTACTTCCCAGGGATTTTGGAGTTTGAGGACTACTGGCAACAGCTTGAGAATCTTCATTCCACAGCTGGGACTGTAAAGGTGAGAGATGTGTTCCTGGCATCCCAAATCGAAGCACGACACTGAATATATTTTCCCCTAGAAACATTGTTATGGTATAAATGGTAGTGTCTCTGGTATCCTTTCTGCTATACTATGGATACCTTTGTGTTAAATTGTCTTTTTGGAGGACACTGCTCCAGGAACCTAGGCATTATTTTTATGGGAAAATGCTTGCTTTCCAAATTCCAAACATCTTACTTAAAAATGAACTTTTGGAACACAATCCATTCACAACTTGGCTATTGGCCAGTTTAGCAAAACCAACCATTCCGCTTTCAGTCAATTCTGTGGTCCTACAGTAATTCAGAGAATACCACTCATGAAATGGTATGGAGAGAGAGATGTCTTCCGTATTTCAAAGTATAGCTGAAAGAAAAATGATTTAATGATTTATTCCAAATTTTATCTGATGTAGCTGAATGGTGTGTGTGTGTGTGTGTGTGTGTGTGTGTGTGTGTGTACACCTGTTTTGTAATTCAAACACACGTGTTCCCCCTATGAGCTCCATTTCCTCTTGTACAACTTACAGTGAAGTTAATTCTACATGAATTAATCATAATGCTTTTTAAGCTACACACTCCCTTTCCCTTATCCATTTACCTCTGGGGAGAGGGGGGTCAATGTTCTTTCTAGGTTCCATATGTGTACGAAAAATCCCCGTTAATCCTGGTTGGTAAAAGTTGTAAAGTACATTAAAACAAAAGCCAAAAACTAAAATAAGGCACAATACCCAGTGTCCTCGAACTCTAAAATCACATGGGAAGTACCCAGAAGCCCCATTCAAAATTTCTACAAGTCTCTATTTACCTCCTCATTCTTTTTTTTTTCTCCTCATTCTTTAGTGTAACTATCTTTTCCTTTCAGTATCATTATTCAAAATAATTTAAAGCGATGGTTTTTTCTGGGTTTTATAAAAGTTGCTAACAGTTAAACAATAAGGAACAATAATGTGTTATTTATTTAGCTATATCATATGGTAAATCGGTTTCAGGGAGGGCCAAGACTCAGAACTTGACTTTCATTTGTAATAGTCTATGGAAAAATATATTCTGAGTTCCAAACAACTAATTTTAAACCTGTATTTTAGAACCAGTACATTAGTATGTCAGATTTAACATTTATGCTAGTATGTTACTTGGCTCAGGTTTATAATTATTAAACTATTTCATGGCTTTTACAGGGTTCAAAATTATGGATAATAATGGAATACCTAGGTGGCGGTTCAGCACTGGATCTTGTAAGTATTTTTAAATAATTACGCACATATATCCATACTTGCACTTTTTTCTTTTAATTGGAGTAAGCAATGGTTTTTGGACAAGCTAAGCAGTTGTTTAGTTAATACGTTCACTCTGTCTTCAGGACTACTACTCTTATATAGATTCAGCTATATTGCAGGGTTCTGCACGTTGCTGGCATTCTTAAAGTATATAAGAAATGCAAACAGCTTAATAAAATAAAATTCCCCCCAAATTAGGAATGAGCGTGTGACAGTTGCCGTCAGTTTAGAGTTTTACTTTACATGCTTATCCCTGAGAAGACTCAGTGTTCTTAGATTTTTAAAAAAGATATCATTCAGATAACTGTCTCTAAAATTGGCTCTTGGGTTCTGACCAAGAAGGCCTACAGACCCAGCTCTCTGCAGAGTTCTCTCTGCCCCTCTATAGGTCATTTGGAAATGTGATGGCATCTTTGTCACAATGACTTGGAAGTGCCACAGCCATTTTAGTGGGCAGGGACCAGGCTGCTACAATCCTGCAGTATGCGGGAGAAGTTCTAACCAATGAAGATATGTTCGTGCATGAAATGTTTTTGAGAAACACTGGTTGTTTTCCCCAAGTGGTGTGATTCTGTCAGTGTTGTTCCCCGCCTTTTAAATCTTTATTAATATGACATTGTATTTAAAATGCAATATGAATGACTAGAGACAAGTTTGTGTAGTAGAATAACCACTGGGCTGGCCTGTGGGAGTTTGAGGTTCTAGCGCTGGCTCTATTTGTAACTAAATCTGTGACTGTGAACCAGACACATAAATTCCTTGGACTTGGATGTCCTATAAAACAAAGAATTTGCACTAAGCTCCTCTTCCATGTTTAATATAATATGACTTTTATATAATATGCTTCTGCCTTTGAAATTATAGAGTCTGCTGTTTCTAAAAGTAATTTTAATTCTTATATTTTAAAGTGGAGATGAGTTTTTCTGACTGAAAGTAATCAAATATTTTTTAAAGGCTTTCATCCTGACTGCCAATGACTCCAAAGTTTCAGATAATCCTGTGAACAGAAATGACCATAAGCGATTTTCTTCCCTTTAAACAGAACCATACTTAAACCATTCTAAAGAAATGGTAATTAAACTTGATGGAGAGCCTCATCTTCCAGGAATTCATCGCAGTTTAATCAGTTGCTGAGTTAGGTCATCCTTCCTTGTGTCTAATGTAATTCTTATATCCTAAAGCTAGAGTTCATTTTTTTCTTTCTCTCTCCTCTCTAGTGAGAGAACATAACTGGTGTTTCTTTGGATAATAATCCTTCATGCCTATGGAGTCAGGTCTCATTCTCCTCTTGCCGTTAAATGATCTCAGCTCTATTTCTCTTGTCACGTGGTTTGATTACACAATAATTTTTTCATTAGCTCCACAAGAAGCCTCACAATTGCTCCACGAGCCTCCTTCCACTTCTTAAATATTAAGAACCCTTTCCAAATTTATCACAGTTAACTGCCCCCAAAAGTGCTTACCATGTCACTTCCCTGTTTTGTAGGCATTGGCAAAGCTAGTGCACTGCTTTCATCGGATTTCTGATAGCAATGTGAAGCACTGGACACTGGCCCAGCCCTAACTAATACAATCTGTATCCCCAGTAGTAGTTTGGTCAGTTTTATGAAATCTCTGAATGAAATGATTGTGAGATCATAATCTCATTCTGCCATTCTGATCTCCACCTAAATACAACAAATACCTATTAGCATAAATTCAATGAACTTAAAATGTTAAAATCAAGAGACCTAGATCCTAGTCCTGGTTCTGCCATTGACTAGCTGGCTAATACTGGGCAAGCCATTTAACCTGTGCCTCAAATGTTCAATGAAGAAATTAGATGAGTAATCTCTCTAACTCTGTTTTTCTAGCCCTAACGCTTAATGATATTGTGATTTAATTATAAACCTCATTTGACTGGACTTTGTAGGCAGAGCAAGTGATGAGAAAATGTGCTACTTCTTCTTCATATATAGTCCTGTACGAATGAATGCTATCATTTGGGGGAATCTGAGAAAGGATCAGGCTTAGAGGAGGGCACTGCTACCAGGGACAAGAGAAATCAGGAGGGATGCTGGGTAGAGTGTTCATCCCTTAAACTGGTGCCTGACTAATGGAACATGATTATGACCAGTATTGATGTCAACATTATATAGTGTATACCTCAAGATTCCCTCCCATTCTAACAAAAATAATTAGTTGTATGTGAACAGACTTTGAGCATACTGTACGTTATTTTATTGAATTGATTATACCTTACTTCTTTCCAAATAGAATTGCAGTGACTTACAACAAAAACACATATAATAAGGTTAAGAGAATAAAACATGAGCACCAAGGGAAAAAGTTGGAAACAATATGCTAACTGTAAGAGAAAGCATAACAAAACATGGTGCATTAGGGGCTGGCTGGAAGTCAAAAGAGTATGGGGAACACCCCCAAGCCCACAAGTAGATAGTCTCTGAAAGGGAAAATGTCCGTCTCTTGAATATCCTCAGTTGACAACAGAGGCAAATCACACAAGGCCAGTACACTGCCCTGGGGGCAGAAGTGTTAGCTATTAGAGACGTGATATGGTCTTCAGTCTTTGGAGAGAAGCTCAGTTGTGCGCTCCAGGGACAGTCGACCAAGATCTTGCGTCATCTCTCCCAAGGTTGCATTGGAAATTTTTAAAAAAGCAATCTGTGTTCCATCTACTTTACCTTCCTTCTCTTTCCAACTCCCTTATTTCTCCTTTTCTGATCATTATCATCATGGCTAAGGAAACATTTTAACCACAAGGTTTGGGACAGTTTTCTGTCTGATAGTGAACAAGAAAAACGCAGCTCGACCACCACCCCATTCCCATTTCCCTGCCACCCAGGCGCCCCTACCATCCCCCTCCGGTACCCAGTTAAGTGAGAATTTACTTTTACTGAATTTTAAACTGGACCTAAGTATACCAGATAAGCGACGGACCACTTTTCTGTTTGTTTTTACTTAAATATATTTTAAAAATTCTGTATTATCCAGGGCACTTTTAGAAATCCTTCAGAATGATAGCTAGTATCTTTTATATGGACCTTGCCCAATTTCCTAAGTGACTGAGGGTATACCTCCTCTGGCCCTGTCAACATTTTATAATCAGTGATACTAAGTACTAATCTTAAGTAGTATGACATTTATCTTTAACTTATTTGGTAGTACCTCAGAATTTCATTGCCAGCAATCAATAAAATAATATGCCATTTTCACCTTTTAGATGAATTTAATCACTGCTGTTTAAAAAGAAACTTTTGGGGTGGAAGTTGATATATTTGAAAGTAAACAGATAATGTTACCTAGGAAAGGCACCTATTGAACTATGAACATCCCTGGAGTATACTATATATCCAGAGCATAGTTAATATTAAATGGTGAGACTGAAGTGTGGTTTCTATTTTAAGCTGTTAAATTTCAACATGAAAGTGCCCTTTATTCAGAATAAATATGGCATTCATGAAAGATGAAATACAGAAGGTGCCAAAGAGCTGTGAATCCCTCCCAGTGTGAGGCTTGGTGGGCAATATTTGATTTTCACCACCTCTTCCCTCCTTCCAGCAAACAGAACTCTACCTCAGCTCTGACTTTAGATTCCCACCCTTTCCTGTAATAATATTGTACAGTCCACTGTTTGTGCTTTATGAGGTACCAGAATTTTAAAATAACCATTTATTTTAAGGAGAGATTTTCAGATATTCCATTACAAATTCTCCTGAAACCTAATCATTGCTTTCCTTGTATTGCAGTTAAAACTACTGGCTTTAGTACAGGGAAATGTGTTACATTTATTTGAAAAAACGTATCCCTCCATGATTTGATATTTTTTTACAATGAAAGTCTGAATAGTTTAATTATTATATTCCTAGCTAAAATTTAAATCTGAGTCTCAAAAAAGGCTCTATGCTTTACAATGTTTTTGAAATACACAAATGCTAAGAACTGTGCTACAGCTGACCTATATGATCAAATTTGGTTGCTGCAAAAATCTTATGGACCGTCTGATCTAAAAATCAGTTCGGTGTAAATATTTAATAAGTTTTAAACAGCAAATGCCAAAATTTAAGTAGCTGATTTCTTTTTTCCTATCTGAGAAAAAGAAAACTAGTTCTGTCATTATTTAAGCATGTTTCTTAGATCTTTGATGTAAATATTTAAGAACCTTAGGATTTGGAGCTAGTATATAGGTTGTACTATCTTTCAAGATTAAACTTAATCATTAAAAAACCCTTTCTGCCCTTTGACTTAACTTTCCTCACCTTTTAAAATTTTCTCATTTGTTTAAATATTGGTTTAATAAACAGAACTGCTTCATATATCTAAGTGATTCTCTTATTTCAAAGAGAATGTCAAGTTCGAACTTCATTGTTCCAAACTTTTACATGTATATGTATGTATGTGTTTTTCCCCCTAAGCTGAGAGCTGGTCCATTTGATGAGTTCCAGATCGCTACCATGCTAAAGGAAATTTTGAAAGGTCTGGACTACCTGCATTCAGAAAAGAAAATTCACCGAGACATAAAAGGTATACAGAAGTCTAATGTGAACCTGAGAAAAACAGATGCATTCTGAGGAAGCTGAGGGTTTTTTCATCTCTTTTTCCCTCCTAGCTGCCAATGTCTTGCTCTCAGAACAAGGAGATGTGAAACTTGCTGACTTTGGAGTTGCTGGCCAACTGACAGATACACAAATTAAAAGAAATACCTTTGTGGGAACACCATTTTGGATGGCTCCTGAAGTTATCCAGCAGTCAGCTTATGACTCAAAAGTAAAGTGTTACCTGTACAAACTATTTTGTTTTTAATATTAAGTTTTATATAGCGTACTATCCTATTTAATAAACTGCCTTAATACTCCTTCCTTTTAAAGTATTCCTAAAGCTAGAGTCACGTCAGTTGTTGCTGGTAAATCATACGTTCCCTTGTTGCTGGTAATATTTGGACCTTCTTCCCTTCAGTGGCCTTTCATCCTACTTGGAATACAATCCAAAGTTCTTACTATCACATATGTGTCTCTCTACAGTCTGGCCCTTGTCTACCTCTGGCTCATCTCTTATCACTCTCCTCTATTTTCTTTTTTTTTTTGATCTCTCTTCACTTCCACTTTTTTTAAAATTAATTTGTATTGGCCCTCTATTTTCTATCTGCTTCAGCCACAGTGGCCTCATTGCTGGTCCATAAACACAGCAAGTCCCCTCTAGCCTCAGGACCTTTGCACTTGCCTCTCCCTCTATCTGGAATAGCCTTTCTCCCAATTAGGTCTTGCTTAAACATTACCTACACAGAATGGTCTTCCCTGGCCATCCTGTGTAAATTTGCAGCCCTTTTACCTTATTCATTATTCCCTTATCCTGATTTACTATTTTCTTCACAGAACTTAGCACCATCTGACATCCTATTATTTATTTATTTATCTGTCTCTTCTACTAGAACATAAGCCCCTTGAGAGCAGGGATTTTGTCTGGTTTGGTCACCACCTGAGTCCTCAGTGCCTAGAATACAGTACCTGGCACAAAGTAGAATATTCGATCATTTTTTAAATAAATGAATTATATTAATAAAAATTTATTAACATCACATTTCTTGAGACACTTTCATATTGTATGACCGTTAGACTCCACAGGTTATTTTGTGGCATTATGTTGGAATGGAATTTCAAGGTAATTGTTCTTTCCTCCTTACCTTAGGCTGACATTTGGTCACTGGGAATTACTGCTATTGAACTAGCCAAGGGAGAGCCACCTAACTCCGATATGCATCCTATGAGAGTTCTGTTTCTTATTCCAAAAAACAATCCTCCAACTCTTGTCGGAGACTTTACTAAATCCTTTAAGGAGTTTATTGATGCTTGCCTGAACAAAGATCCATCATTTGTGAGTATATATGCTATGACTACTATTTTCTATGATCAGATCTACATAGAGCCAGTGTGGTTTGTTCAACAGTGAGGAATACAGTGCCTGTGAAAACTGTCTAAGATTCTTCCCTCTATGTTCCCTCTATGTTGCTAATTTTGTTTAGTTGTTGACAAGATCCGCAGTTCCTTCTCTCCTTCCCGTGCATCTTTTTCTCTTTTTTCTATGGTCCCTAGCTTCTTCTTTATTCTGTTGATCATTTCCTATTTCAGTGGGAAATAAAGTTCATTTTCTAGGGTGTCATTATGAAAGTATATGTATAACTATTCACAATGATTTTTATTCAACTGTGTTTTCATTTTTCATGAAAAGTTGTTTGCGTTTCACTATTTTTAATTTAAATGTTCAGAAATTCCAACATGAAGTTGTATACGTTTCCTGAAGTCTAATGAGCTCCATTCATTTACTTGGCAAAGTTGATTACAGTTGTTCTACTGTTTTTAAAATAAAGCTGCCCGATGACTTCGAGAAACTAGAAATATACAAGAACTGAATTTGATGTGACAATTTTTAAGTTGCTAATGGCTATTCTCATAGTAATAAAATACTAGGGGGAAAAGTATCCCCCACAGCACCTGGTGTTTGTATTTAGATGCGATATGAATTAATGTGTGATGAAGAAGGGGGTCATATGATATGTGCAGATAATTAAAGTTACAGCCTTGCTAGTTTTCACTCTTTTTTCCAATTTACAGTAAATATAATAAAAGTATTTTAAAGCACTATTTTGAAACGTTTTAAAATTTTTACTTAATTATCAAAGTCCTGCCATGTGTTTCTCTGCTTTTAAGAAAGCCCTGCTGCCTGTTGCTAGTAGGTAGGCCACTTTTTGCCCATTGGGCTTTAGCAAATTGGTACCAAAGTAGTGAATTTAATTTGGTTGCCTTGAGCCACTTCAAAAGTAGAATTAGCTATTGTCCTGTGGCATTTTAGTTATCCTCATATCTGCAGACATACTTTTACACCTTTCCGCTTAATAGCTGAAGTGATTTCTTATCACTCCTTGCAATCAAAAGAGCCTAGAAATATTCATGCATCCTTTCTTTTTTGTTCCTTAGCGTCCTACAGCTAAAGAACTTCTGAAACATAAATTCATTGTAAAAAATTCAAAGAAGACTTCTTATCTGACTGAACTGATAGATCGATTTAAGAGATGGAAGGCGGAAGGACACAGTGATGACGAATCTGATTCTGAGGGCTCTGATTCGTATGTACCAATTATTTAATTTTTATGTAGATAGCCCATTTTAATATTGCATATATTTTAACGGTGATCCAATATGCTTTCTCTAGCATAAAATATAAACCTTATTCTAAAGTCTGACTTTAGAAACTGTGAAAATCTTTTAAAATCACCGTCTGTGAAGTACAATGAATTTGGAAACACGTTTTTTTTCTTAGAAGTGAATTGCTTTAGTTTTAAATGGTCTCGGTCTAACCCCTAGTGGATACTTGAGTATATTACAAAATTTTGGAACAAAATTCGATTTAAGGTGTTTTACTAGTTTGCCCAAAGTGATGAGGAGCAATGTCTTCTCTTACTTTGATGGCAACCTGCAAAATCCCTCTGGAGAACTAACGTTTCCCAGCTCTTGGCCATGTACCAAACCGTGATCAGACCGGGACATTGAAATATTCATTTATATCTCATTTGTACACCCTAAAAAGTTGCATTGTTTTTTAACTGCAGCATTTATACTAACATTTTAACCTCTAAGTCCGTAATTTAATTTACTGCTTCGCTAGCTGAATTGACACAAAGGCAACACCAAATTTCTTTAGATATACTACTTGCATTTATGAGAAATTGCCCAACTTTTAAAAGGTCTGAAAAATACCAGGATAGTTGTTTTTACTCTGTCCTAATGGTTGTTGGCCTTAGCTGCCCAATGAGAGTCACCCATGGAGCCTTTCAAAAATGTAAATCAACTATACTCCAATATAAAATAAAAATTAAGAAAAGATCACAAGCCACACTACAGGAGATCTTGATCTAGTCAGTGGGAAGGGGTTGGGGCAGGGCTTTATATATAGTAAGAGACCTTCACGTGTGATGCTGGTACACACTTAGAGTTGAGAACCATTGCTACTCTTCAGTAAAAAGCAGCGTTGAGGGCTTCCCTGGTGGCGCAGTGGTTGAGAGTCCGCCTGCCGATGCAGGGGACACGGGTTGGTGCCCCGGTCTGGGAGGATCCCGCATGCCGCGGAGCGACTGGGCCCGTGGGCCATGGCCTCTGAGCCTGCGCGTCCCGAGCCTGTGCTCCACAATGGGAGAGGCCACAGCAGTGAGAGGCCCGCGTACAGCAACAAAAAAAAAAAAAAAAAAAAAAAGCAGCGTCGATTTGAAACTGAGATCAAATGATTTTTTATACATCGGGACAATTCTCCGTTCGGAGTCTGGCTGCATTGATTAGGTATTTTCACCAAGCATTTAGGAACTTATAGAAGTATCTTTGGCAATCTCTTTAGGGAATCCACCAGCAGGGAAAATAATACTCATCCTGAATGGAGCTTTACCACCGTGCGAAAGAAGCCTGATCCAAAGAAACTACAGAATGGGGCAGTATGTATATGGAGATGATCACTTCCTCTTGGTAGACTTTTTCGAACTATATAGTGAGAGTATGATGGCCAAAAATTGTTAGAATTTAATACCCCTAAACGCTCATCTACCTCACTGTGTCCATAGTAGGTTTCATTTGCCATTCGTTTTGAGCTAATTAAGAAAAGGTCATAGAAGTCATTTAAGTGGCCATTGGTATGTTTTAAAATGCATTTTACCTAGAGATATCTAAACCCAGTGGAATCATGTATATCAGTTGTAATCCTCTAAGTTAGAGAACTTCTGGATGACGGATGGGAATTAGTGATGGGAAGAAAGCATGGAAACTTGCCCTGTATTGGGTCTTTTGGGAGGAGGATTCCAATGAATGCACATGAATGATTATTTTAATGTCATGTGTATAATCTATAATATTTGTTCAAAGGAGCAAGATCTTGTACAAACCCTGAGCTGTTTGTCTATGATAATCACACCTGCATTTGCTGAAGTAAGTACAGATTCATTAGCTTTGGATATCTATTTTAAGAAGTATAATAATTTTAAATGTTATAGCTATTGATCTTTCTCAGCTTAAACAGCAGGATGAGAATAATGCTAGCAGGAATCAGGCAATCGAAGAACTGGAGAAAAGTATTGCTGTGGCTGAAGCTGCCTGCCCTGGCATCACAGACAAAATGGTGAAGAAATTAATTGAAAAATTTCAAAAGTAAGCTTGAAATGTCATTTTAAAAAAACTATTTTGACATTTTCTGTTGCATGTTCATTTATGATGCGATAATATAATTACCTACTTGATTGAGTCATTCTGTTTATTCCTAACAAAGTCAATTCTTAATAGTCATATGCTTGAAAACTGTTTGTTTGTTGCCCATCTTAAACATTAGCTTTTGGAATTATTATCTTCGGGCATTACAAGGTAGTTTTCCACTGAACGAAATGGCCCGGCTTTTTTTTTTTTTTTCCTCTCCCTGTTAGTAGGAGTACAGACAAAAGGTCAGGGGACATATTCTTATTTGGACCCTTGTAAATACCATTGAGGAATGCTTTCATTCTTGCCACTACTCTTATTACACTGCTGTTCACATTGTTTCAGTGCTAAAGTTCATTAAGTTTAACCCCCATAAGAAAAGTTAAGGATTTTAGGTAGAGAAACTCAAATGAAGACTCTAAAATGTTCTTATGTTTGATTTCAGTTTCTATACTGCCTCTTGAACTGTTGCTTTTACTTTGTTCACATTCAATAAAGTTCTTACATTTAATTTTTAAATTCCCTTTAAAAACAAGACTTTTGTATGCATATACAAACACAACTCCTTAGCTCAAGCAAGTTATAAAAAGCACTACTAATCTTAGCCTTAATCCCATTATATTGCTTCTCAGTGCATCTTTATATTCCTTTGTATTTGTGATGCCGCTGGGATCAAGTTGGAACAAACCATACAGCCTGTAAAACACATAATCTCCTAGATCTTTCTGGCTGATAAAGCCTATTTATACTCATCAGCTAAAGCCTCTCTTAAAATCCCTTAGTTTTTAGTGAAAACCTCCCCTCTTTTCCAATTTGCAAACAAATCAATTGGAAGTTGTAAAATCAGACCCAGAAGAGATTTTTGAACTGCTTTACATTTTAACGTTTACATGATGAGACGCAATACAATTTTTGTTTGCTGAATCAATTCTTTCATTGCAGAGTTCATACAGATGTAAAATAGACACATGCATAGTTATATATCAATTTAAGTTTTTCTTAATTTTATAGGTGTTCAGCAGATGAATCCCCCTAAGAAACTCCTTGTTAGTGGCTTCTATTTCATATGGACCCAGAGAAACCCACCAAAGCTACTTCAAGCTTAACAATGCTTAACTCATGAGCTCCACGTGCCTTTTGGATCTTTGCGACATTGAAGATTTGGAAGAAGCTATTCAACTATTTTGTGATGGTGTTTATCATTTTATATTTTAAAGAGATTATTTTGTAAGGAATAACTTTTAATACTATAGTTTCACCTGTATTCTAGTAAATGTTGAGATGCAGTTTTGCTTTTAGGTATCATTATTACTTAAGTTACTAGGATGAATACCTTTCATGTTTTGATCTTTAGTTAACTGTACAGTTATGAAACATACAGGTCTTTCAAAGTCATCCTAAATATTCAACTTTTGTAATCATCAAGCCTCAAAAAGCTTTTTTTTAAACACAAGCATATTCTAAAAATGACTACTGGTGGGGAGGCGGAAACAAGTCACACGTTCTTAAAGCAGAAGGTTTTTTTTAAATTTATTTTTGGCTGTGTCGGATCTTCGTTTCTGTGTGAGGGCTTTCTCTAGTTGTGGCAAGCGGGGGCACTCTTCATCGTGGTGCGCGGGCCTCTCACTATCGCGGCCTCTCTTGTTGCGGAGCACAGGCTCCAGACGCGCAGGCTCCGTAGTTGTGGCTCACAGGCCTAGTTGCTCCAAGGCATGTGGGATCTTCCCAGACCAGGGCTCGAACCCGTGCCCCCTGCATTAACAGGCAGATTCTCAACCACTGCGCCACCAGGGAAGCCCAAAGCAGAAGTTTTTAATAAGCTTTTAGAAATGAAACCTGGAAAACTATTGACTCTTCTCCCAAGTGGGTATGATATTCCAGGCAGCTCAATGATGATTACATCTGAGAGCCCTGCGTTTGAAACATTTAGAGGCAACATGTAGCAACAGAGGTACCTCTTGGTGTGCAGTATTTACTTTCTCTTATAGAAGACACAATTGACCCTTATTTAACATGGTTGGAAAGTTAAAGCAGTACTAATTAGCCAAGGATGGATTTTTGGTAATACCGGAAGAATTAGTTTTTAATTCATTTTTAAAATCAACTCAAATCGCATATTATATGCTTGGATTTGGGGAGCTTAAAAGAAGCTGATTATCATGTGATTATAAATACCTGATCAACAGGTATGAATATAATTTACACCAGCATATTTTTGTCATGGTCATAAAATGTCCTATAAACTATTTATACATTTTTTTTCCTCATAACTATCCAATACATAAACCTCATTTGTTCATTTTTGAAAGGGTATTTAAATAAGCATTTTCTAGTTCATATGAAAATAACCATAGTACAGGATGATTTCTGTCTGTACAAAGGTAAGTTAGACTGTACAGTTAATTTTCAGTTATATTTATGGTACTGTTACATGGGTAATACCTTTTTCTTTTAAGCCCAGTATATATATTATGCCTGCCTAAGTTCTGAAGTGGGGCTATATTTCAGTAGTTGTAGAATCATTGATATTAATTAGTTTTGATAGTTAATGTTTTATTGTTTGGGTCTGAACAGTTTGGTTTTTGCACAAAAGTCATTTTAATAAACCTGAATAATTGCCAAATATTAGAAGAAAGATTTTCTTCAAGTGAAGAATACAGTTTTTAGTCAAAGTGGCCATTACCTCTTCCTTTTTTGTAATAATACAGACACTTGAATAAGTTGTTTTTGTGTCACATGCCAAGAAAATTTTTTCATTGGTGCCTATACTGTAATAATTACTTTTAACACATTGTATTTTGAAGTAATAGTTCAGTTAAATTTTTCACCTGCTATGTAACTGAAACTCAATTACAGTTTATAATTTGTAGAGGTCTGGTGGTAATTTTGCAGCTCATATCATGTATCAAATGAATATTTTTGTAAAAATAAAAGCAACAAATTTTTAAATTGATTATTTGAAACTGTACAGCACAGCTGCACCATAGATAGAAAATTGTATTGCTTATTCATTATAGTTATTAGTCCTGTAAACTGTTTCTGGGTAAGCAAACTTCAGTGTTTTGCGGGGGGTTAAAAATAAATATTTAAATTTCCTGGTCCCCAGTGTTAGTTTTCTTGAGGTGGGGGTATGGTGTGGTATTTTAATTGTTTCAAATCATTTCTCCTGTCCCCTTTCATTTATTGTTGGAACTTTTACACCAGTGTTTCCATTGGAAACTAGAAGGTATTCTTCACATTTTATTAAACATTGATTATAGCTCCAGTGAATATGTCCTGATTTCTGCCTCCTGTCCTGACAAAATTATTAATAGAGTCCTCTTTCACTCAAAAATGTCCTTCCTAGGTTACACAATAAACTTTATGGTCACCCTAGTTATAGTTTTATTAGGAAATTTTATACAGATTTGAACGCTGTATTTCTCTGGGGGAAACAAATTTCACAAAGATTTCTAGAAACTGAGATGAGAAATAGCATATAATCCTAAAAGAATTTGAGTTTTTCCTAGAGAAAAGGTCAAAGATGAACTTAATATAGCTTTGAGTATCTATAGGATTAATATATAGGTGATTGGGTTTCAATATATTCTTATTATTAAATAGCTATTCTAGACTTGTGAGTTACCGGATTCGATTCCAGGAGCAGGAAGGAAAGTGCTAGCATGTTGGAAAGAGGTAGAGTGAGGTATATTCAAAGGGATTTTTGTGGTGTAAGGACTAGGAGAGTAAGAAAACTATTCCATCCATCTTTTCTCCATTCAGTCATATATAAAAATAGCTTGCTTACATAATTGCATCATTTCTTTGAAGTCACTACCTAACATTATCTTGTAAATATGTTTTACTTACCATTAAAATCAATAAAGAAAATAAAGTTCTCAAATAGAATGCTATACCTTCCAAGGGAAATAATAGAAAAAATTTGAATCAGTCAAGAGTAGAATTTTGAAAAAAAAAAAAGAATAGAATTTTAGTTCATTAACTCAGCCTGGAGTACTATCCTTTTTTTTTCAGCTACCCCAATTCTACCACTTCTCCATCCCTGACTATACATTTTTACCTGCTTCCCTCCTTTTCCTTGTTCTCTAAATGTCCGTTTCCTTAATTATAGGCTAGAGCCAATTACTTCTGAAACTGACTGAAACAAAATGAAGTTCATACTTACAACTTAATTTTCAAATAAATGGGTTTCCATCACTCTTTATTAAAATGCTATTCATCTCATTTCCTTGCCTACATGCACACAACAAGATATGGCAAAAAAAATGCTTACAGGAGAGATTACATAAACAGACCAACATGTTAACTTTTATCTTTCACTACATATTACAGCTAGTTAAGAATAGAGAGTAAGTCAAACATCATATTATCCCCATCAGGCAGATGTCTGGCTTTAGAAATTGATCAACTCCTGAATTCCTGAGGTTTAGAATTCTGCCAAGTCCTAGATTAATTATAAACTTGTGTTCTGTTGAGAGGATCTATGTTCCTTCTTGTTCCTGAAATATAGGAGAGCCATGCTCCCCCTAACATATGTTATAAAAATTGAAGTCTTTGGGGCTTCCCTGGTGGTGCAATGGTTGAGAGTCCGCCTGCCATTGCAGGGGATGCGGGTTCGTGCCCCGGTCCGGGAAGATCCCATATGCCGTGGAGCAGCTGGGCCCGTGAGCCGTGGCCGCTGAGCCTGTGCTCTGCAATGGGAGAGGCCACAATAGTGAGAGGCCCACGTACCGCAAAAAAAAAAAAAAAAAAATTGAAGTCTTTAACATAAAACAGGGCCATTTTTACTGGGTCCCACATGAATAATGAGGACTGAAACCTTTAGTTGTAGTATTGTTTAAGAACAACATGACCAACACACTCACAGTCTACTAAACCGCTAAATGATATCAGAACCCAATTCTATAGGTCAATCCATACTGTCACTGTTCTTCAGTGTTGAAGAGCCTGACCTTCGTTTATAATGTCTCTTTGGGGAAATGTATAATGGAGATGACAAATACCCACCTCACTCTGCTATGGGGCTGGTGAGGAAAGGGCATGTTCCAGAATGATTCAGAGGGAATAGAAGAGTGAGGCTTGAGGAATGGGGCAGAGCTGGATCTTTCATAAGCTAAGTGCCTAATCTTAGAAGAGTCCCTTAATACCAATGCATAGTAACAAAGAGTGGTTTTTGCAGAAGGTTCCTTATGTTTCACCTAAGTTAGTAACATGGAATTGGCCTGGAAATGTTCATAGGGTTCACGTTTTAAGCTAAAAAGTAATTACGTGGTTTTCACAAAGTCGTATCTTCAGCACTTGATGTATTGAAAGAGACATCTTCATCTTCTTCATCTAGCTGTAGGCTACCAGAAGACAAGCGGATTCTGGCCGTGGGTGAACTTATTCCTTTGTCATACAAAGAGTAGTAGTCTGGTTTAAGAATCTCTGATTCAGAATCACTGGATTCACTAGCTACATACCCTTCTGTTGCTCCCTGATCCACTAAAACTGTTGGAAACTCCTGCTCTGCAAACACATATGTAAACAGGTCAGCTTTACGACTCAGAGCAGGACAAGGCCCTAAAGGTCTAAATTCTGATCCAAAAGGAAAACGGATAGTTTTCATGTCTGATTGGCTCTGGGACCGTTTAGGGGTTGGCTCTTGAATGTTATATGCAAATGCATCTTCTAAATTTGGATCTTCCTCTTCTAGATCTACATTGAGGTTGCCCCTGCCAGTAGTTTGGGCCATAGCTTCATGGAGTTCTTGAAAGTCTTGCTGAAAGCTCTTCATTCTGAGGTTCCTTGGGCTTCTTTTGGCTGGCTTCATTGCGGTAGGCTGTAGACAGCTGTCTGGCCTTTCCCTTTCCTCTGCCATGATTGGAGACTGTCTGGGCACCTGGGGTGGTCTGTCCACATAAAAGAAGACTTGGGGAAGCATAATAACCTGCTGACCAGTACAAGGAATATAGGGCACATCTGTGTAAATTAGCTGCCTTGCTGGACTCACTTTGCTTATAAGGGCAGAAGATGTGCTCGTGTGATTGTCAGCAAACTTACAGCTTGTTTGGAAGGAGCTTAGAGGACTCCTTTCCTCAAAGTAGTCAGGATCGGGGTCGGTGGTAAAGACAGGGTCTGTATAAATAAAAGGGAACGAGGAACTGCTCTGGGACTGATGTAATGATGTGGGCTCTGCCTCTGGTTTGGAATGCTCCAGCTCGGCTGCAAAGGTCACCTCCACTGCAGAGTTTCTCCTCCTGCTGTCCAGCACAGGCTCAGAGGCGTGCACTCCATTCACATTTCGGTAGTACCCACTGCCATAGGCTAGTCTCAAATCTTCCACCTTGAGAGAAAGAACATGTTGGTGAAAGAAGGAAAAAACCATTTGGTTGGGGTGGGGGCAGGGATCTAAATCAATCTTGAATTTTCAAAGGTAGTTTTTCACAAAGGCCTTTCAACCCATGTTCTATGCCAGGGTTGATAAATAGATACATAAAAGGTAATAACTTGTACCACATCCCAATTTATGTGCTGAAAAATAAACGACACTTTCCTTTCTCAACACCATCACACTCCCAGCCTCCGCATTCTCTATCTACTTGAGCCAGCATCGTACTTCAAGCAGTATGGTTAAGTAGCTGTATTCATGAGCTAGGAGTTCTGCCTTTTGGTCCTGGCTCTGCCTTTATTTGCTGTGTGACCTTAGGCAAGTCTCCTAACCTCCCTGTTCCAGCCTCCTCCCTATTTTCTGTAAAATGGTGGGGAGGAGGGCTGTAAATGGCATGAGATGGTCAATCAATAGATGGTACCTTCCAGCATTATACCTCTGTGATGCCTTTCAGATAAAAATTGCCTCTGACTTGAATGAAGACAGAGTTTATGAGACCTCTAATTAATTTTTTTCAAGAGAGAGCAATGGTTCATACTATAAAACTCAAATGAAGCCATCATCTCACAGTTCCAGGAGAACAGTACTTTGTTCTTAACAAAATTACATAGCAAAAGTACTTTAAAACCTTGACCCAAGGGACTTCCCTGGTGGTGCAGGGGTTAAAAATCCGCCTGCCAATGCAGGAGACACGGGTTCAAGCCCTGGTCCGGGGAGATCCCACATGCTGCGGAGCAGCTAAGCCGGTGTGCCACAACTACTGAGCCTGCGTGACACAACTACTGAAGCCTGCGCTCCTAGAGCCTGTGCTCTGCAACAAGAGGAGCCACCGCAATGAGAAGCCCACGCACCACAACGAAGAGTAGCCCCCGCTCGCCACAACTAGAGAAAGCCCACGCGCAGCAACGAAGACCCAACGCAGCCATAAATAAATTTATTGATTTATTTTTAAAGTTACTTTTTTAAATTTTATTTTTGTGGTACACGGGCCTCTCACTGTTGTGGCCTCTACCGTTGCGGAGCATAGGCTCCGGACGCGCAGGCTCAGCAGCCATGGCTCACGGGCCCAGCTGCTCTGCGGCATGTGGAATCTTCCCGGCCCGGGGCATGAACCCATGTCCCCTGCATCGGCAGGCGGACTCTCAACTACTGCGCTACCAGGGAAGCCCTAAATTTATTTATTAAAAAAAAAAACTTAAAAAAAAAAACTTAACCCAAGACCTTATAGCTTCTTCTAAGCCTTAAGATTTTCATAGGTAAAAAAGTAGCTTTTAGTTTTAAAAATACAAAGCCATAGAAATTCGTTTGGATCTGCATTTTGCAAGATGTTAGAAATACAGGTTGCAATTTAAAGACGTGCCAGATCTTTCCAGTCTATAAGGCACACACACCAGTTTACCCAATGTTCTTCTATTGGCTGGAGACTGAGTTGACAGACCTCCCCAGGAGGCTAACGCAACTTGACCAGAGTAACCTTTTTACATACTGGGAGATTTTGGCAGAATTAATTCCTGGAAGCATTTGAAATGTGCATGTATTACATTTATATAAAGAAGAAGGAATTTTCAAAAACCTTACTTGTTTTGACACATCATAGAGGAGGTCTGGTGAGGACCTGCACTGTCGTTCATGGTACTGAGATGGGTAATGTTTCCTGAAATCCCCAAACAGAGAAGGAATTGAAATAGTCTTCATGTGAGTACAGGATCCCTATAAATCTCTAAATTCAACTTAAAAATCAATGTGACAAGTGGGAAGCAGCCACATAACACAGGGAGAGCAGCTCGGTGCTTTGTGACCACCTAGAGGGGTGGGATAGGGAGGGTGAGAGGGAGGGAGACGCAGGAGGGAAGTGATATGGGAACATATGTATATGTATAACTGATTCACTTTGTTATTAAGCAGAAACTAACACACCACTGTAAAGCAATTATACTCCAATAAAGATGTTAAAAAAGAAAAAATCAACATGACAAAGAGAAACAAAACCATGTACCTTTCAAATGGCAAGCTCTTCAACCTCCCCTTTTTCCCATATTCCAAAAGTTGCCTTTGGGTTCTTCCGCTATTATAAAATCAAGATAAACAATTTTATGAATGCTCTTTGTAACCCAGTAGGCTAACTAAAACTCAAAAGTGTCATTTATTGTTGAAATCGAAAGATTCTGGATGAATGACATATGTCGTGAATCTCTGACCATCCCATTAATAATACACCCATTTACCCGAGGATCTGGCAGAGCAACCTCAACTATTCAGAACCCAGAAAGTTTTAAATGCTTCTGAACAGCGCTATATAGCAGTTACAAATTCTGGCCTTGAAAACTAATATACTTTCCTTTAAAGGCCTTTCCCCTTCCTCCAAATTTACACATAGTTTCTAATGAGGCTATTTGTCTGGTCTCGCAATCCATGACAGGAGAAAAACAGCTAACTAAACAGTAGAAGAAGGTTGCTCCAGTCAGACATACACTAGCAAAGAAAGCCAGCTGATTGCTGGGAGAAACACAAGAGCCAAAAAAGAAATCACTAACATAATAAAATCCAAAAAGTCTGGGCCATTTATCACTGTGGTGCAGGGTCTGACATGCCTCCCCCGCCCTGAGGCTGCCACTGCACTACAGCTGCCAGCAGAGGATAAATAAGTGATGTTTATAATAGGTCATTGAGAAAAGGGACAAATATCCTCAGTATCATCTGTTTAAAAAGGCAGGGATTTGTAGAATACATTTTGGAAAGAGTCCATAAAAATATGTACGTTGTAAAAATCTCACTTTTTACTGGGGCAGGCTTCTACTACTTGAAAAAATCCTTCACAGGAAGCACTGGATTCGAATTTTTTATCTTAGCTAAGAGTTTGAAAGCGTCTTCCAAAGAACTCCTAGGCTGGTGGGATCAAGTAAAAACAAGTTCTTATTTTGACCTCGCTTCCTTTCCTCCAAGGTGTTAACGTGTAGTAAGGAGCCTCCACTACAATATTGTTCAACCTCTCAAATCCCTTAGCCCCTGCAGTGCTTTCTCACCCTATCTTTTCCCTAACCACCACCAAAAGGATGTTGTTGAGCTGTCCTTCCTATGGCTAGCATGTAAGTTGCACGTAAGGAAAACAGTAGGTTCATTGACTACGTTTTCTCAAACGGCATATGCCCCCTTATCCTTGCAGAAATTCTGATCTAACCTCTTAAGTGGGGTGTACACCTGCCCCTACCTCCCTGTTAGGAAATATTGACTTAATGAGTCACACAGAGAATGAGCAGTAAAGGGTATCATCCTTTATGTGATTGAAATGGATTCTTTATTGCTTCTAGAATTCAAGCTCCTCCTACTGCCTTCCATGCTATTGAAAAGAAGTTGTGTGTTTAGTTTGCCTGTGTGCAATATTTAATTACCTGTAGCGGAAACTGGAACCCTTGCTGCAGAGTAGGGTTTTAGGCTTTGATTTGGGTTCTTCAGAAAGTCTGAAGAAAGCATGGTACTCCACACAAGTCTTCCAGAAAGCCTTGCAGGCATCTCGGCTGGCCATGGTGAACTCCAAGGTATCCTTGCACAACACCTGTATAAACCAATTTCCATCAAGCAAAACATCCTTCAAGAATATCAAAGACCTTCAAATCCCAACGCCTTCTAAACTATTGGTCCAGGGGCCCATCCAGCTTCTGATTTTCTACTTGGCTCCCTTTGGCTTCACACCTACTGAAACCAAATGATTGGCAAACTTCCAAGGAACAGACAGGGCCACTGCTCAAAAACAGAACCTTCTCTAAGAAGCAAATCTTGCTCTGCACACCCTCCTCACCTCACACGCTTTTTTACCCCCTCTTCTCTGCCAGGAACATATTTATGAAGTTGTAAATTAGGTTAAAATGAACATCAAAGGACATCCTTTCAAAGTGACAAGAAGTTATAAATGACCAACAGGAAAAGGGGAGGGAGGAGGAGATCTTTCCTACAAATGGTAGGCTTTATAGGATGATTGTATATACATGAGTCTTTTTAACACACCAGCTAGAAACATTCTCCCTCTTTATGCTGCCTTGTTCTATGATGCTCTGTGTTGCTCATTTAGCGTATTCTAATCGGCTGTAGGGGAGCTTAGTCTTCCAGACCTAAAGTGCAAGGTTGCCCCATCTCCTGACTCACTATATACCCCCATTTGCCCATGCACGTGTGCAGTCCACTTTGCTGCTCCCCTTCTCTCATTCCTCTCCAGGTTCCTGTATGCAGCCCTGGGATTCGTCACAAGCTTCGCACTGGATTCAATCTTCTGAACTGCTCAAATGAACACTTTTATCTAAGGCTAAGGTTCAGAGAATGAAGCCCAAACTACTGAATTATCTGTAGGTCAAAAATGTAGTTGATACATATTTTTAATTTCCTTTATAGTCATAAAAAATTCTTTCTAGCCCCTTTGTCCCACCCTGTACAATGCAGCCTTGCCCAATAGTTGCTTCTTTTGCTTAATATATACCCACTCCCCACATCCTGCTTTGGGAAAGAGTAGGTATTCAATTATTTGGCATGTAGTAGGTGTTCAATTATTTTTGCTTAAGGAAAGAAGATGAAAATGCTTTATAAAAGGAAGCAAATAACGTTGAATTAATATGTCCACAGTCTTAGATCTGGGCTCTTTCATTTGACTTACCAAATCCCTGAAAAATGGTTTCTAAGGAGACTTGTCTTTCATCCCAGCCACCCCATTTTCCTATTACTTTATTCATTTTGAACTGCCAATAGGATTTCTTAGTGTTTTGCCTTTAGTAAAAATATGACTAAAGCTCTGGTTTATTTATGTAGAGGCAAAAGAGGGAGAATATTATTGGTCAGGGCCAGGCAGATTTCATCACTCACAATCAAACCATTTGCAGAAACAACCAAGAAATCTCAAGTGAGTAGAAAGTAAAAGAAGTTATTCAAAAGCTACTTACCAAGATGTTGGCATGAAGTTTGATGAGAAAATGTTTTCTCTTAAAACTCAACTTGCGGATTTTAGCCCAGTTGAAAGTATTTATCTTTGTATTTCCCTATGATGAAACACATGCAAATTTCAGGATGAATTTCAGCACAAGCTGGTTTGTAAGACAATGCAAACCTGTTGGAAAATGCACTTCATGAACAGGACTATCCTTGATCTATCTCTTGCACAGACTGATCCAGTTGTACTAGATAGAAGCTATGGCCAAAGAAGGCATTCCAGGTGGGACACAAGCCTGCTCTGAAATGCAAGTAAGAAGGGGCATGCCTGGGAAAAGTTTCTAACCAGGATAGGGGATCACAGTAGAAAAAGATTGCAGGTATCCGGGTATACCCCACTTTTCGAAAGTTCACTTTATGCCACTTCGCTTTTACTTCGCTTTGACGAAAGACCCACATTATTACAAGTTTTTGCTAACTGAAAGAAATCCAAAGAGGATTTTTGATTTTACTCCAAAAAAGGAGAAAATAAAAATCAGCATTTGTTTTGCAGTGAGCTGTTATAGAGCCAGCACACACCCTGAGCAGTGAGAGCGGCACCTCTTAAGCTCCTTCCCCAGGAACTACACTCTGCTCGGCAGCTCAGCATCAAGCCACCATAGCTTTGAACTGTACATTGGTACTTTATTTCGATTTATTTTGTGCACCCATTAGCAAAATGTGTCCTCAGGTAATGCTTCTTCACTTTACACTCTTTCAGCTAGGAAAGGTTTCATAGGACTGCTCTACTTTCAAATAGCAGGGGAAACCTGAACTGCAATAGCTCCTCTAATCTCACCCCCTTCCCATGTTTCCAAATTCAACTGCTTTAAAAAAAAATCCCATTTATTCTGCCACTCATTTACTCAAACCCCTTCAATAGCTCTGCACCACCTACATCAACTCTAAACTCTTTTGGCTTGATTTTTTTGCCCCAACTATATTGACTATAACTTTGATCTCACTGCTCCCAGAAAACACCTTTCCATCCTACTCTGTACCTTCCCTCCCATAGGTCTCCTCATTCTCCTTACCCAGAATGACTAGCACCTCCTCTAGGATATTCCATATCATTGCCATAGCCTACACCCATTTCTAACTCCTCTGAACTCCTTTAGCTCTCCTGGACTACTCAAACAGTTTAACTCTCTTGTTTGTTTGTTTGTTCACATAGTCCAAAAATCAAAGGGGGCACAAAAATAAATATATTGAGAAGTCTCATGCCCACCACTGTCACTTCTACCTCTGTCCCCATCTAACCACTGTCTACAGGTAACCACATTATTTTGTTGGGTATACTACTTCTGCAACTAAAGTAAATGTGATAGATTAGCTTTTGATTACTCATTGTCTGATATTGATCGTTATTTCTCTGGTCTTTCAAAATAAATTGTGACTATCGTAATGACAGGAGCCATATGTCATGCTTAATGTTAGTTTCTTGATTATGTCATCCTTTATCCTTCTCAGGGCCTTTGCCTGTGTGCCCTTTCCCTGGAACACCCTCCTTCATCAGGCAATCATATCCCATTGGTCTGGTTAATTTCCTCAGGTCTTACTTAAATGTTAAGTCCCTTTCACATGTGTTACCTTAGCATCCTGTGCTTCCTCTAGCACAAAGCACATCACATTTGTTTATAATTACTTGTTTAATTGTCTGTCTTCCTCCTACTGGAATTTAAGTTCCTATTAGAATTTAAGTCAGGGTCATGCCTGTTTACCTCTGCAGCTCTAGTACCTGGCACAGAGTGGATGTACAATAAGTATACTGATAGAAGGATGAATGGATTGCTGCCCAACTATAAATATACTCAAACTCATTGAATTGTACCATTAAAACAGATGACTTTTATGTTATGCAAATTATAGCTCAATAAAGCTGTTTTTTGTTAAAGAAAGAATAGTACAATGAAGAACAGATAGAGGGTACTCAATACATAAATACTCTTTGACTGGATTTCAGGTAGGACAAAATAGACCATCTATATTGTTCCCAACTGTCCACAGAAGTATTCACAATGAAAGAGATCACAACTAGCATGACGGTCTTGCTCTCATACCCTTCCCATTTTCTCTCATGCAATAGGAAATAGCAAGAATCAGGGTTAGCAAGAATAGATACATGAAAGCAATCTTTAGAAAGAAAAATGGAGCTGGAGGAAGCAGGCTCCTGGACTTCAGACTATACTACAAAGGTACAGTAATCAAGACAGTATGGTACTGGCACAAAAACAGAAATATAGATCAATGGAACAGGATAGAAAGCCTAGAGATAAACCCACACACTTATGGTCACCTTATTTTTGCTAAAGGAGGCAAGAATATACAATGGAGAAAAGACAGCCTCTTCAATAAGTGGTGCTCAGAAAACTGGACAGCTACATGTAAAAGAATGAAATTAGAACACTCTCTAACACCATACACAAAAATAAACTCAAAATGGATTAAAGACCTAAATGTAAGGCCAGACACTATCAAACTCTTAGAGGAAAACATAGGCAGAACACTTTATGACATAAATCACAGCAAGATCCTTTTTGACCCACCTCCTAGAGAAATGGAAATAAAAACAAACAAACGGGACCTAATAAAACTTCAAAGCTTTTGCACAGCAAAGGGAAACATAAACAAGATGAAAAGACAACCCTCAGAATGGGAGAAAATATTTGCAAACGAAGCAACTGACAAAGGATTAATCTCCAAAATTTACAAGCAGCTCATGCAGCTCAATATCAAGAGAACAAACAACCCAATCCAAAAATGGGCAGAAGACATAAATAGACATTTCTCCAAAGAAGATATACAGAGTGCCAACAAACACATGAAAGGATGATCAATATCACTAATCATTAGAGAAATGCAAATCAAAACTACAATGAGATATCATCTCACACCAGTCAGAATGGCCATCATCAAAACATCTACAAACAATAAATGCTGGAGAGGGTGTGGAGAAAAGGGAACCCTCTTACACTGTTGGTGGGAGTGTAAACTGATACAGCCACTATGGAGAACAGTATGGAAATTCCTTAAAAAACTAAAAATAGAACTACCATATGACCCAGCAATCCCACTACTGGGCATATACCCTGAGAAAACCATAATTCAAATAGAGCCATATACCAAAATGTTCATTGCAGCACTATTTACAATAGCCAGGACATGGAAGCAACCTAAGTGTCCATCGATAGATGAATGGATAAAGAACATGTGGCACATATATACAATGGAATATTACTCAGCCATTAAAAGAAACAAAATTGAGTTATTTGTAGTGAAACGGATGGATCTAGAGTCTGTCATACAGAGTGAAGTAAGTCAGAAAGAGAAAAACAAATACTGTATGCTAACACATATATATGGAATCTAAAAAAAGAAGAAAAATATTCTGAAGAACCTAGGGGCAGGACAGGAATAAAGACGCAGACATAGAGAATCGACTTGAGGACACGGGGAAGGGGAAGGGGAAGGTGGGGTGAAGTGAGAGAGTGACATGGACTTATATATACTACCAAATGTAAAATAGATAACTGGTGGGAAGCAGCCACATAGCACAGGGAGATCACCTCGGTGCTTTGTGACCACCTAGAGGGGTGGGATAGGGAGGGTGGGAGGGAGACTCAAGAGGGAGGAGATATGGAGATATATGTATATGTATAGCTGATTCACTTTGTTATAAAACAGAAACTAACACACCATCATAAAGCAATTATACTCCAGTAAAGATGTTTTAAAAGATTAATAAAAAAAGAATAGATACATGTATATGTATAACTGAATCACTTTGCTGTATACCTGAAACTAACACAACATTGTTGATGAACTATACTCCAATATAAAATTTTAAAAAGTTATTACAAGATAATGGATATATTTCCCTGAGCTGTATAATATATCTTTGTTGCTTATCTAAAAAAAATAAAAATAAAAAAGAATCAGGGTTTGAGTGGACTGGGTAAAAATTCCCTCCTGGGTGAACAGGTGTGCCTGTGATCCATTGGGTCTTTTGTCCATCAGTGTGGCTCTCATGCTGTAAAGTTTATAACCACATAAATTAGAAGGTTAAGATTCTTGTTGCCAAGTCTGTACCTGATCTGCTTTGTGACTTATTTCAGTGCTCTAATTCGGTCCTGGGGGTCAGTGGGTCTGAAGCCACCCCTTTCTTTGTCACAGGTGATTCATTCCAAAACCTGTCTAGGTATCTGCCTATCATTCTGAAGCTTCTTAAACCTTAACTTGGATCTAAATTCATTGAATGCTCACAGATATAAGAAGTCCAAAAAGACTGAAAAACTGTTGAAAAATATGTTCTGGCCACATTCCAAGGAGTGAGGATTAATGGTGATGGAGAGAGCCCTCTCTGGAAAACAGAGTCCTGGGAAAAGGATGAGTCAGTAAACATCAACCATTGCTTTCAGGGTTGGGCACTAATTCCCTACTGGCTGGCACTGGGCACCTCCAACAAAACTGCTAACTGAATGAGAACAACCCTTCAGGTTGTTTCTGGTGGATTTGGACAGGCTGAATGCACTTTATTTCACAGCCTAAGCTTTTAGGATGCCAAAAACCTGTATTCTTATTTAGGGTCTAAAAGTTCCAAAGAGCCTCTTGACTTCATCTCTTCACCATGCTGGCCTGATCTAATGTGTGAGCTCCTGAGAATCAAAACATTCAGCTCCAGACTGCAAATGGAAGCAAAGGACATCAAGGGAAGGAGACTTACCCTAAACTCTTCCAAGCACTGCCTCCTTTCCTTGCTGGTGGTAAGACTGAGGGGTGGGGTCACCTTGAGAATGGACATTCAAGTTTGAGCCAAGATAACACCCAAAACTGAAGACTTTAAAGGAAAAGAGCTGTTACCCGTAACACCAGTACACCCATGTGAGCAACAGCCAGTTGGATCTGCATCCCTTCACCATCACTGGCAGGGTGCGGCCTGATGCCGTACATATCCAGCTTCCTCGCTATGTCCAGTAGCAGAATGTCAGCTTCAGCTGGGCTCCTGCCACTGCAAAGGGAAAGAATTTATGAGCCTAATAAATGCAGCAAGAATGACGCCTAAAAAAAAAGAATGACACCTCTACCCCGAGAGCTCGAAGAGGAACTCAGTGTTTTCTTGAGCCTGAAGTTTCTCTGACTTAAAGGCTTGCTTTTAAGAGTCTGTCCTCAGCTTCAGTCTTCCCTGCCAGCAGAACAGGCGGAAGCAGATGCCAGGGAAAGTACTTACATGTGCTTCTGATGGAAGTGCACGATCTTGCTCTCTAAATCATCTTGGTTCGGTAAGTACCGGGTTTGTGCCAAATATTTCCTATCTGTTTCTTCATGAAAGTCTCCCAGTTCTGCTGCATGACAGTAAAGTGACATTTTTTACATTACCATTGATGAGTTAAGCAGTGGAGCACCCAGCAGACCCTCTGACCTCCCCCAAACAGCCCTTTCTTTGCAGCCATTGCAGCCCTAGACCTCCTGAATATATGTATATTTGTTTCAGGATATGGGTGGTGGGGGAGGACCTAACTGGTTCTTCTTCAAATAAGAAGCAGTGGGTTGTTATGAAGTCACAGACACAGTGTAGGTCTTAAAGGCTCCAGAATCATAGATGAATATTTTCTTATTTTCTTCTCCCACATTCTGTTGATGATCTCTTCTACTTCTGATCAGTCCCTGTTATGAGTTGAACTGTGACCTCCCTCTCAAATTCATATATTGAAGTCCTAACCCTCAGTACCTCAGAATGTGACTGTGTTTAGAGACAAGGCCTATAAAGGAGTGATTATTTTAAAAATGAGGCAGTAGAGTGGGCCCTAATCCAATCTGATTGGTATCCTTATAAGAAGAGGAAATTTGGACACCAGGCACCAGGAATGCAGGTACACAGAGGAAAGACTGGGTGAGGACTCATCAGGAAGGCAGCTATCTGCAAGCCAATGAGAGAGACCTCAGAAGAAACCAAACCTGCTGACACTTCAATCTTGGATGTCTAGCCTCCAGAAGTGTGAGAAAATAAATTTCTGTCCTTTAAGTCACCTAGTCTGTTGTATTGTGTTATGGTAGCCCTAGCAAACTAATTCAGCCCCCTAACCTCCCTCTGCCTTGATCAGGCATTATTAAGAAAGGAGAATACAAATGCCAACTCCAATGCAAGCCAGTCACAGCCATTCATCACTCTGTACATTGGGAATCTAGTAAAACCCTGCTATATGGAATCCCCAGTCGGTGAATAATTCTGGAAATTATTCTCACTTTTCCAAATCACTGGAAGTTTATCCCTGCTCATAATCTATTCTAGATATATCCAATTTATTGTTATAATAGCACTGTGCCTACAAAGGCAATTGAGGTATATAGCATTATCTGCCCCTACAGTAAATGGCTTGAAACTGTTTTGATTTTTGAATTCTTGTGTGTTCTTTATCATTATTATGCCTTTTCCCTCTCTGTCAGATTAATAGGAATCACTTCCTGGTCATTGACTTCCCCTGAAGAAGTCTCTACTTGGTTCCAAATTGTGACTTCTAATCTACCATAAAATGGGCACCCAAAACAATTTTTACAATTAAAATTCACATTTTAACATGAAAAAAGGGGAATGCAGATATCCAAACCTGTTCGCATTTTATGAATTATAAGAGTAAATAGACTCCATGGAATCATGTGGTGCTCTCCTATTGAGTAAAATTCATGGACATGGGGGCATCAGTTTTGAGTACTAGAAAGTTATTTTCTCTTTTGGCTTGGTTTTCTATTGTGTTTTAGACAGATGGCATGCTCATTTTTAGATAGGTGAAGTGTATTTATATATTTCAAAACCACATTAGAATGAAAATCTTTATATAACAAGCTTTTTTAAAAAGACCAAATCAATGGCTCTTTTATCTATTTATTTTTTTCCCAAATTGATAAATGTACAAATCTCATTAAAACTTAATCAGTGGCTTCCCTGGTGGCGCAGTGGTTGAGAGTCCGCCTGCTGATGCAGGGGAGGCGGGTTCGTGCCCCGGTCCGGGAAGATCCCACATGCCGCGGGGCGGCTGGGCCCGTGGGCCATGGCCGCTGAGCCTGTGCGTCCGGAGCCTGTGCTCCGCAGCGGGAGAGGCCACAGCAGTGAGAGGCCCGCGTAACGCAAAAAAAAAAAAAAACCAAAAAAACGTGATCAGGCCCACCCATATGGTTTCACTAGTTAATGCTATCAAATATTCAGATAAGATACAAATACCAATTTTTCACAAACTCTTCCAGAAAATAGAGTAAGGAACACTTACCAACTCGTTCATGAGGCCAGTATTACTCTGATACCAAAATCAGACACAGACATCACAAGAAAACTACAGATTAATATCTCTCATGAATACAGAGGCAAAAATCCTCAACAAAATACTAGTAAACTGAATCCAGCAACATATAAAAAAGAATTATACATCATGACCAAGTGGGATTTATCCCAGGAGTGCAAGATCAGTTCAACACGTGAAGGTTAATTAATGTAATATGCTATGTTAATAGAATAAAGGACAAAAAATACATTATCATATCAATAGATGCAGAAAAAACATTGGGCAAAATCTAACACCAATTCATGGTAAAAACATTCAACAAACAAAAAAATTAAAGGGAACTTCTTCAACCTGATAAAGTTGGAAAACCTACAGCTAACATCATAATAATACTAAATGGTGAGAAACTGAGTGCTTTCCCCTAAGACCAGGGACAAGACAGGGATGTCTGCTCTTGCCACTTCTATCCAACATTCTACTGGTGATTCTAGTCAGTCAGTCTCTCTCTCTCTCTATATATAAATCACTTGCTGTACACCTGAAACTAACACAACATTGTAAATCAACAATACTTCAATTTTAAAAAAAGAGCACACACACACACACAAAGAAAATGAAAAGTCAAGCCACAGATTGGAAGAAAATTTCACAAATTATAGATCTCATAAAGGATTTTTAATAAGAATATATAAAACTCTCTTAAAATTCGATAAGACAACCCATTTTAAAATTGGCAAAAATTTGAATACGCATTTTACCAAAGAAAACATAGGAATGGTTAATAAACAGATGAGAAGGTGCTCAACATCATTAGTCATTAGGAAAATGCTAATTATAATTGCAATGAGATTCATTGCACTAGAATGACCATAATCACAAAGATAGACAATACCAAATTTTAGTGAAGATGTGGAGAAATTGGAAACCTCATACATTTCTGGTTTTATTGTAACAATTTGGTGAACAGTTTGTCAGTTTCTTAAAATGTTAAACACAAATTTACCTTAAGACAAAACAATTACATTCCTGGAAATCTACAAAAGAGTGATGAAAACATGTGTCCACACAAAGACTTGTACATGAATATTCATAACATTATTCATAATAGCTAAACTGGAAACAATCCAAATGTCCCTGGCCAAGTAAATAGATAAATAAAATGTGGTATACCCATAAAATGGAATACTACTCAGCAATAGAAAGGAACAAACTGCTGTGATTCATGTTACAACTTGCATGAATTTCAAAAACATTGTGTTGAATGAAAAAAGCCAGATACAAAAGACCACATATTTTATCATTCCTATTACATGAAATGTCCAGAAAAGGCAAATCTATAGAAACAGAAATTAAATTGGTGGTTGAGTGACTGCCAATGGGCATGAGAGAGCTCTTTTGGCATGATGGAAATGTTTGAAAACTGGGTTGTGGTAATGGTTGCACAACTCTGTAAATTTACTAAAAACCATTGAGTTACAGACTTAAAATGAGTGAATTTTATGGTATGCACATTATACCACAATAGAGCTGTTTTAAAAAATAAATTAAACACACACACACACACACACACACACACACCCCAATCTTTCTCTTTATTAAGCACAAGTATTAAGCACAAGACCTTACGTTGACCCTAAGGAAAACATAGGAACATAGGAACATTCTCTCCATGCAGGACTATAACAATCTAGGAAGAGACCTATGACATACAAATGAGTAAATATCATTAGTGATAGAAGGTAGCATGTGGTGTGAGCACCTTCACTGTTACCACGCTGGTCCAAATTACCATCATCTCTCTCTCTCCTGCTGTCGTCTGTTATCTTGTCTCCCCACTTCCACCATCCCTCATAAAGTCTATTTTCTCTCATTTTTAAAAATTGAATAAATTTGACATATAACATTGCAGCAATTTAAGGTGTACAGTATGTTACTTTGATACATTTATAGATTGCAATATGGTTGCCATTGTAGCAATATTTATCACATTACATAATTATAGTACAATATTATTGTCTATATTTATTATACTGTACATTAGATCACTATGGCTTATTTACTACTCGCTACAAATTTCTGTTTTCACCACAGCAGCCAACATGATGTAGTTAAAACCTAGTTCAGATCATTTCACTCCTCTGTTTCAAATGCTACATTGGCTTCCCATCACATTTAGAGTAATGTCCTAGGTCTTTAATATGCTTTTAAGGCCCTCCATGATTACTGTCTCCCTCTCTCCCTCAGTTCCAGCCATCCACAAAGCCTGCTTAATGTTTCTTGAATACTCCCAGCATGCTCCTACCTCAGGCCCTTTGCACTGGATGTTCTCTGCCTGGAGCTCCCTTCCACCAGATTTCTGCATAGCTTGGTCTTTTACCTCCTTCAAGTTTTGTTTAACTATCACCTTCACAGTGAAGCCTACCCTGACCACCTTATTTAAAAATTCAGTACCCAGCCCCCGAATTTCCCTCTCTCCCTTCCATACTTTATTTTCTCCAGTGCACTTATCACCTTCAAACTTACATTATATATTTCCTTATTTTGGTCTGATTGTCCTCCACTGCCGAAATGTGAGCTCCACGAGAGCAAAGATCTTTTTATTTCACTGCTATGTTCCCAGTACCTGGCATGTAGTACGTACTTAATAAAATTTGCTGAGTGAATGACAAAGAAGAGTTACTGTACTAAGGGCATTCATAAAAGGGAGGCTTCATTTGGAATGTACAAACTGTATTTGGGAGGAAGAGTCTGGCTAGAGCCAGAGGGGTGTGTAAGAGAGATTTAAGCAGATGAGGTCAGAATGTGGAGGTTCTTGAATGCCTAGAACATACATATTAGATGAATAAATAAATGAGCAAACGAATGAGCATCCTGGCTGTGTTCTGCACACTGTCTTAGCAACCAGTGAAATAATCTGACCTGGATGGATTGTGAAGAGCTGACTCCTTGAAACTTTCGCTTTTTTTCTGTGGAAAGAGCTTCTATTGACAAACAAAATATCCTCTAGAAAAGCTGAAGTGTTCTGTGCTATGCCTGAAATGGCCACTAGGGAATGCTCAAATCCATAATGTTGAACTATTAAGAATGAAATTGGGCTCCCCCATCAGAGGCTGTCTGGGGAGCCCCAATCCTCTGACTGCTGCCTTAAACAGGCAGCTAACGGAGAAGGATAAGTCTTCCAATATTGTTTTCTCCACCTGCCTTACCCCATCTCCCGACCCCACCCCAAGAACAATACTGGACATATAGTTAGTGTCCTTGGCATTCAAGGCCCTTCAAAATGATGCTTAGTTTTTTGCCACCTCTCCTAAACAGACTCTATGCTCGAGTTGTACTTGAGCTGCATCCTCTGTATATACTTTTTCTTGTACCATCACCTTTTTTTCTTTTCTGCTTTCTCTGCTTATCATTACATATCCAATTCCTATGCATCACTTTAAGGCCCAGCGCAAAAGCCATCTCATCCATAAGCCTTCCCTGATAACTACTGGTCTCACTGCCTTCCTGAGATCCTGGGCTCTCATCCTGTCTCGCTTATGAGTCACTTGGTAAACACTGATTCATATACTGTCTCTATCCAAGCCCTTCATTCTGGAGTTCCCAGTGAAATCAGAAATCTACCATTTCTGGACTGTCAGGAAGGCAAAGGATAGAGGTCAAAAATGAACTTTTGAAACAAAAAAATGAAGTTATGATCCTTCAGGAACAGTAAGGAACAGCCTATTCTTGGACGACCTCTCTAGAAGAGAGAGAAAGTCCAGCCAGCCCTAGAAGAAGAGATAATATTTCCAGCTGCCTTAATCCTGCCCTCGGGGATACAGGAGCAGCCTGATGTGCCCAGCTTCACCCCCTCCCAGGAAAGGCCCCACTGCTCCCCGGGCCTCTTTTCCCTGCCTACATTACTCAGCCTAGTCCAAGGACTTGGCTGCTAGGATATGGGGAACTCTAATAGACGCCTGGGGCCTTTTTCCCTTTTAGTTTCTCTCCACCTGCTGTACTCTGTGCTTTGTTCTCTGGAATCATGATAAAGAGCAACATGGGAATCACATTAAACGTGACAATGTGCTGCAGAAAGCACGTACCAGAAATGGATCCTGGGGCAAGCAGAGGGAGTGGGGGCCTGCCTAGCAAAGTCCATGCCCAGATTAGTCCAGACCAGCTCCTGGAGAGCAAGCCTGGGGCAGTGGGAGGCCAAGGTTAGACCGAGATAGAAGAAAATCAGCATTTACTTTTAATCTACATAACTGCTCTGTGAGAAGGCATTCTTGTCACTCTTTTAAAGACTAGGGAACTCAGGCAAAGACAGATGAGGGGACTTCACCCAAGGCTACAACAGTTAGAACGTACAAACAGGATTTGAATCCAAATCTCAATGCCTACAGTAACCAGCCTCTTTCTACTGGACCCTGCCATTTCTATATATCTCATCCAGGCTTTCTCTCCTCTACAGAGAAGCGCTAACATGATGATAGGGATGTTGAGGGTGCTCAACCTCTTTGCCTGGTTCTCTAGCTGGCTGATAGGCCCCAAAGTCGACATTTGCTACTTACATTGTAAGATGTGAGATATCATCAACGCTGTACAGTTGTCACTGCATGGAAGCCTTCCCAGAGCCAAATCCTTCTTTATTTGAAGAGTAAAAAGATACCTGCAAAGAAGTGGGGGGAAATCTCTTGAGGAAGAAACAGGAACAAGAAAGAAGCATTTCCCTTCTCCCAGATCAAGATGTTTCAAGAAAGACACGGTGCCCCCAGTCAGGGAGATGCCTTTTGGGGGTGGTGAGTAATGCATAGGCTTTGCTTCGGCCCCTAACCAGCACTAGACCACAACTCAGCTGATCCAGCATTTCAGCAGGCCTCACAGCCATTAGGAATTGCCCCGGCCAAATCCTCCCGCCAACTTGAGGGAGTTGGCCAACAATCCTCTGGTGATTTCTGCCACGTAGCAAAGCCACATACCCAGCCAGAGAGAAAGGGAGATTCAGCAAGAATAAGCCTACTCAGGAGGCCAGTACTGCTCTGTTTACAAAATGCTATCAAATACTCACTATCGTAACAACTTAGAAGGCTGGCATCATCACCACATGTTCCAATTACGGAAAGACAGAGGTTAGGCGATTTGGGCAGAGTCATATCACCCCAAGACAGTGAAACTGTGGCAAGACCTCAGGTCTGCCTCTCAATTCCAGGCTGCCTCCTATCCAAAAGACTGTATTTCAGAAATCAAGAACTTGAGGCCGTGATTCTGCCCCTTCACCTGGACCACCGTCTCCGTATCACCAGAGCCCAGCCTAGCCCTTTGCACAGAGCAGGTATGGGATTACTGTGTATTGAATGGAATGAAGCCAGACTACCCTTTTTCCTACCGATAATCAGGGACCCATAAAGTACACATTGGTATCCAGAACTTTGCAAAACAGATGGCATTTGTCCCACACTTTTAAGCCCTTATCAAAGGCAATCAACTTTTGAAAAGATGTGTATAATTAAGATTCTACTGCCGACTATGTTCCTTCTTGGTTCAAAATTGGTTCCAAAGTTTTATTTTATATATTAAAACATTTACTATCTACTGTGGGCATTTCCCTAAATAAGATGTAATTTTCTGAATAAAGTTCTGTCTAGATTTTTTTTAAACCAATTAAGACTTGACAGCAATGTGGTGAACCAGAATTAATTGCACGTGATAGATGAAAATGCAGACTGGGAAAAAACAGGTAAATTAGTAGGTGATTATTTAATTTACAAAGCCATTCATTATAATCCTTCAAATTGTGATCTCTCTTAACGGATTAGAAATGATTCATTAGAAAAGTTATATTTGCACACCACTCTGAGAAACTCACGTAGTGGCTCCAATCAAGGCATCCTTGTAAAGTCAACTACAGTTAAGTATTCTCAAATGGACCAATGGGGAAAAAATAAAGGAAGTCTAACCGTTGCCATTACCTGCTTTCAAATATAGATGTACATGGGAATAATCAGCCTCAATTGCTAAAGGGGACGTGAATTTCATTTTACTCCTAGCAAGAAAGAAAGTAACCTTCTTGTCATTTGACACATTCCTTGCTGTTAAGAAGGCAGCTGCCTGCTGCAAATACCAAATCCTTCCTCTGAACAGCTGATGAATCATTTATCATCACATTGATTTTCTCATTCTTTTTTTTTTTCCCAGAGAAAGTTTATCTCCATCAAAATTGGTTACAATTTGAGACTCGACTGAAATGAGTTAGCAAAGGCAAACTGATAGAGATACCAAGACATCAAGTTATCTGGGAAAAGGGCCTACAACTCACAAATTTGGAGAGGATTGGGAGAGAGAGAGAGACTGACCTTTTTTTTTTTTGTTTTGCGGTATGTGGGCCTCTCACTGTTGTGGCCTCTCCCATTGCGGAGAACAGGCTCCGGACGCGCAGGCTCAGCGGCCAAGGCTCACGGGCCCAGCCGCTCCGCGGCATGTGGGGTCTTCCCGGACCGGGGCACGAACCCGCATCCCCTGCATTGGCAGGCGGGCTCTCAACCACTGCGTCACCAGGGAAGCCCGAGACTGACTTTTTTAAAGTGACTTCTACAAAGACCCCTCAGAAAAGAACCCCCCCATTTTACAAAAAGGGTGAAGAAAAATTGGCCATGAACCATGATGGGGAATATTTCAGGTAGAATAATTGCCAACACGCTGTGACCTTGATCAAGTCACTCTAGTTCCCAGGACCAGTTTCTGCATCTGTAAACCAAAAGGTCTGGACTAGATTATCTCTTACATCCCTTCTATGTGTAGAAGTCTGGAGTCTAAAGTCTAGAAAGCAGAGTAAGGTTTGGGGAGTGTTATGTTGACAAAGTATTTTTGAAGAAGTAGGTTTACATGGTCATTTTAAAGGGCATTTTTATAAATATAAAAATACTTTAAAATGTTTTATACTTTTTACTTTTTTGTAAGTATACAAATATTTTACTTATATAAATTATTAATAATTATTATTGTAATTATTAATAATTATAATAAAATATCAATAATTTATAATTATGCAAAATAATTTATTAAATTATTTTTTACTTCTCTACTTTCAAAAAGGTTTTATAAGTGTATGTCATCATCACTTTCTACCTATGGGATATACACACACACAAACGTGCACACACACATGTGCACACAGCCGTTTTCAGTATGCAGGGAACTTAGCTGTCAAGCTGCCCTCTGATTAGAACACAGATGCAATGAAGGCAAACACTCTAACTGTTGTAGTAGTTAATGCCTTAACCCCCAAGTGGGCGCCCAGGCTGGTTACCACTTTAAGAACACCACCCTTCCTTCTCCCTGAAGTCCCTATCCTTTGGAAGATTAACCCTGGGGACCAGCCAGGTCGTCCTTCTCACCAACTTCTTACGATCTCCCAGAGTGACTGAGACCCAAGCCTTCCAAAGAAGGCTAGGAGCCCATTCCCTGATAAATGGATAATAATGATTAAGTAACATCATGCAAGTACTATACCTTGTAAGCTCTTCTCGCAGATGTCCAGGGTCCACTGGGAAAAATTTCACCATAAATTTGAAAACAACCTCCTTAGGATCTTAAAACACAATATCTCCATAAGTTTTATTTAAATGTCCATCACAACAGTTACAGGGCTTCTCTCTCTCTCTCTCTCTCTCACACACACACACACACACACACACACACACACACACACACACACTCCCCTCTCCTCTTCCCTCCTCTCCCCAGCACTCCCTCTCACAGACTTTTCATTTAAATTTCAATTTTTCACATTTGTGAGCTGTTGCTATTTTTGAATTGTGCCTCTATGTGGATAACAGTTGGGAAAGTTCTCCTGCCCCTCTTCCTCCCTTCTCTTTCTTTGAGTTTCTTTTTGTAAAGATGTGCCTTGTTTGGGGCCTACTGTGTCCTCAGTAGGGATTCTTGGGATTCTTGGGATTCTGCATTCCTGGCTGAGAGAAGGGCCCAGCTATAGAGGCAGGTGAATATCAGCTGGCTCAAGGATTCATAAAGGGAACTAGAAGTAGTAGGGACTGAGGCCTCTGTGTATCTTAAAATCTACATGAAGAAAACATATCTACTTGCCTTCACTCCTACTTGCATTTGAAAATAAGAAGCTTTCTGTATCAAAAGCAAATACACACATGCAGCATTAACACCATTGATTCAGTAAATATATGTTGAGTGCCTATTGTATGCTAAGCATTGTACTAGAGGCTCCTGGAAATGAAAATACAGTTAAGCACTCAAAGGTTGGTAGAAGAGGCAGACACCTAGACAGACAATCACAGAACCACAAAGTGTTATAAGCCCCGAGTACTGGGTAAGCACAAGAGGGAGAAAAGAGTTTGGAGGAGGTCAAGGAAGGCTTCCTGGAAGAGCTGACATCTGAGTAGGGCTGCCAGATTTAGCAGATAAAAATATAGAACTCCCAGTTAAATTTGAATTTCAGATATACAATGATTGCTTGGGACATACTTACACAAAGAAATTAGTCTTTGTTGATCTGAAATTCTAATATAGTTGGGCAACTTCTATTTTATCTGAGAAGCCTACACCTGAAGTTAGTTTTGTTCAAATTAGGAGAGGTAGGAGTATGAAGTGGTCAGAGGCAGAGGTAAAGGCTGAAAAGTCAGGCAGAGTCTGGTGCTTTGAGGATCATGTTAAAGAGTTTGGACTTTATTCTAAGGACAATAGGGAGTCATGGAAGCATTTTTAAGCAGGAGACTGATGTGGTCAGGTTTGTATTTGCAATAGTTCCCTTTGGGAGTAGTGTACATGATGGATTGGGGGGAGTCAGTTGGGAAGCTGTTGGGATGATGTGACAGATTATCAATACGTAATGGGAAAAGACAGAACTGTGGGAGACACCAACACGTAGAGAGCAGGAGGGGGAAGTGACACGAAACAGCCTTTCCCAAAGTGTGGACTGAAATCCACCTGCAGCGGAAGCAGCTATGGAATTTGTTAAAAATGCAGGTTGCTGCCCCCAAACTCGGGGATGAGGCCCAGCAATATGCATTTTAACAAGAACTGCCCCCTCCTCCCGGCCCGTGATCCTAATACACACTGAAAGTTAAGAACCACCACACTAGATTGTGACATATAGGGTTCGGGGGAATATTTCATGCATAGTAGGCACTCAAATATGACCTGAAATGGATGGACAATGTCTGTGATGGGATAAAACTGAAACACCTCCTGGAAGAAGGTGAATGGCATTGCTGCTTGACATCAAGGATGCTCGAAGATTTACAGGTCTAGACTCAGAGATGTATTCCTAGAGCCAATCCACAGAGCGCTGTCATTACCAGGGTTCTCGAAATTTACTCAAAGATCCAGCAGCCTGATTTTCCTCATCTCAGGCAAAGTTAAAATGATTTTTTTAAATTGCTAAATTTACTGGATGGATGAAGGATTAAAACAATACATCAAAGCCCTTTTCTCCGCTTATATTAAGGCGAGGAACAGTGTGGTATTGTTGAAATATTTTCAAGTTGTAACTGGGAATTCTATTCCTTAAGTGATTTTCCATACTTACTTTTTACTTGCTTTGTAATGGACTTCAGAAGTTCCAACCAGACCTGTAATAACATTAATGAAAGAATTGGTAGAACATGGCACTGAGTATAGCTTTTTGTTTTTTGGGGGTTTTTTTGATAGCAGATTAAAGTCAACATGAAACAAACAAATGTCAAGACTCTTTAGACTTCTAAAGATAGTAAGAAATAGCAACGTCAAAGAAATGCTGTGCTTCCACCACACTCAATCTGTCCCCTTCTATTTTCCCAATGACAGTGCACATTGATGATCTATAAACTCTTGCTGTTGACATTTGAGTCACTGCTCCCTGCCTCAGGAGAATGACAGAGGTGTCATATACAAGGCTCATTAGTTGCCACAAAGACTAATGAAGGCATGTGGCTCCACATTTGAATCCTACAGCCCCCAAATGCCAGCTTAATAGTCATAATGAGCCTTTCTGGGAAGGAGCCAGATAACAGATCCACCAAGGCAGAACACAGCGGGCAGAACATTGGGAATGTCAGGATGTGAGAGAGGGGCAAGGAGCATTCCCGAATACTACTGGTGAGGTTAGGAGTCTTCAGTTTGGAGGTTGAGGTCCAGCCTCTGGAAAGTCAGAATAAAGCACAGAGACCTCTTCACACAGTGGCAAAAGAGGAGCAGAGGGTGGAAGAGTTTGTGCTTGGCAAACTGAGGTGACTTTTAATAGACAAGGAGGGGAAATAGTTGTTAAATCCACTCATTTTGCAAGGGTTTAAATGGTTTTTCCTTTTGCAGTTGGGGGTTTGAGCCCTGCATATCTAGCTGCAAGCTGCATTTAGAAGCAATTCTAGACACAAAGAACCTATAATGAAA